CTCACACTCACGGTCCAGAGGGTCGACTCGAGCTGCATGGGGTGGTTCCTCAATGTCCCAGAATCGCTGGACAGCGTCCGATAGGGACACGCCCACGACGGAGAGAGGGTCGGCCGTCGGAGAGGGAGGAGACCACATAACCGGTCCAAAAAAGCTGTGCCCAAATATCGTGGAAATGGCTGCCAGGCCATTGGGCTGCAGAGCTCGTATCTCACCTAACAAGAGGGCACCCAGCGTGTCGGCCCCCAGTAACAAATCTATCGGCCCCGGTTGGGCCCACCGAGGGTCTGCCGGTCTCAAAGCCGACGCACAGCGCACAGCGCTGTCATTTATACGAACGTTAGGGAGGAACCCTACAATGTCGTCGAGGACATTTACCTTGACTAAAATACGAAGGTGTTCGCTGTCAGGGCTGAACACCAACTCCGATTGTCCCCTAGGAGCAGGAGGCTCGGCACCTCCGATACCTACCATCGGACGTGATTCAGAGCTCCAGGGGAGCCCCAGTCTTCCCACCAACCGAGTAGAGGCCACACTACGCTGGGAACCCGAGTCCAATAGAGCTCGAACCGTTAAGTGGTCGCCGCTCGGGTTGTAAACCTTCACTGAGGCTGTCGGCAATAGAACAGTTTGACAGGTGGACTGCTGACGACTTATAGGCTCAGTGGAGGCGGCCATGGCGGGAGCTAGGGCGGCAGCCTCCTATCTGGAGCTGCCTCTGTTAGGCCGGCACCCGAACCGGGGGGCCCGAGCGCGGCACTCCGACGGCGTCTCGATGACCCCCGACTGGAATTCCCCGAACGGGCCGACCGAGGGAAACTCGGGGATCCTCGGCTCCAAGGCTCGGGGCCGATACGCAGTCTCCGGAACCCGGTAGTACCGGCACCGGCCAAAGGGGGGCGGGCGGCGTTCCAGTCGCGGCCACTCAGCCAACGGGGGTGAGAAAGGTCTAGCTGACCGCTGAGTGGCCGCGAATCCACTATCAACGCGGGGAGGGGGGGTGAAGACCCCCCCGCCCCTGGGGGAACGACTCCCCGACCGATCGGGGGAGGGGCTCCCTTCAGAAGGAGGGGCGCTGCGGTCCGCCGGTGAGCGCCGAGCGTCGCCCGACAGTGGGCGTGGCTGGGCGCCCCCGCCCGTGGGAGTCGGGGGGCTGGCAGGGCCCTGCGAGGACGAGCCGCGCGCACCCAGGCACAAGAGGACGTTGTGGTTGCCCTGGCAGTGCGTGCAGGGCCGCTGGTGCGGGCAGTCTCGTTGTAAATGCCTCTCCAGGCACGAGAAGCACCAGCGGCGCTCCCTGGCGATGGTTCGCCTCGCCTTAGCCGGCTTGCGCAACAACTTCGGGCACGACGCCGTCCGGTGGTCGGATGCTCGACAATAGGAGCAGGGAGGCGCCTCCCGGGCCGCTAGGCCACTATAGGAGGGTACGGGGGGGCGCCCTCCCGCGGGGGCTACACTCGGCCTCAGGGGGGTGGGCGCCGCCTTGGCCGGCTGACTCCGCCTTTCCCTGGGCACCGCTCGGGAGGAGGCCGGGGGGCCCTCGACGGCGCCTGCTGCGTTCTCCAGCAGCCTGCACTGCTCTTCCAGGAACCGCAGCAGGTCCCTAAAGGGGGGCATATAAGAGGCGCCATCCCCTCCGAACCTCTCCTCAAAATGGAGCCGAAGGTCGAGGGGCAGGCGGGACAGCACTATATGAAGGAGCAGAAAAGACCACTCGTCCACAGGTAAATCCAGCCGCCGCAACGAGTTGCACGCTACGACGACTGGATTCACTATGTCTTCACGTAGTCTAGTCCGGTCCTTCAGCAGCGGGAGGTTCAGCAGCCTCCGAACATGATCGTCCGCAATCCGCCGGACGTTGGCGTACCTTCCAGCGAGGAGGTCCCTGGCGTTTTGGTAGGCGTCGTCCGACAACTTAAGGTGGCCGACGACGCTCAGGGCCTCCCCCTCTAGTGAAGCCAGGAGGTACCCCATTTTTTGGCAGGGGGTCAGGTCCCTCCGGGCGTCCACCAGGCTGTCAAACAGGCCGACGAAGGTCATCCACTCCGAGAGGACCCCGGAGAACCTTGGCAGGTCCAGCGTCGGAAGTCGTCCTAGCAGCTCTTGCTGAGCCGACGGCTTCCGCGGGGACTCGAGAAGGCTACTCAGCCGAGCTTCGCGCTCCCTCTCCGCATCCTTGGCCCCCGCCTCGATCAGGTCGTCCGTCAGCGCGAGGAACTGCTCGTAGTCCGCGCGGCAAGATTCCAGGACTCCCTTTTCCACCTCCAAGTCCTCGAGCTCAGAGTAAGCCTCCTCCACGGCCGCCCTTCGAGCATCGACCTGCTCAAGCCTCTTCCTCAGATTGTAGACCCTGTCCGGTCGGCCTATCAACGCGTGTGCGCTGGTAGCCCAGCGCAGCTCAGTCCGCAGGCAACGGATTAGCATCTTGGGCGAGGACATCACTACTAAATTCAAATTACGACGCGGCTCGAGCACAATTACAACAATAACAAATAAAAAAATACAAAAAAATTAACAGCTAACTAATGCAGTTCCTATCAAATTGAGTTGGATAGAATGTACACAAATAAGAACAGCTATTATTAAATCAAACACAAGTTAGTACAAAGGAAAAGGTAAATCAAATCAACAATAACAAATACTAGTACGATCAAATCAAGTTCATTTAAATTACGTAAATACAAATTACCACTCTTTAGTTCAAATACAATTTACAATACGAAAGATATGTAACGAAGATACACATCAACAAAAATGCCTTGCTCGGAAATCAACCCTTCGATAAGTAACACACTACCATCCGACAACGACAATTAACCGATTACGTAAAAATAACCATCTACCTACATGACGCAATCTCCCGCTTGCGCGCGAACCGGGTGTGACCTTTCAATTTTACCCGCTAACAGTAAAGCAAGCTAACAAAGGAAGGAATTTTATTATTACGTATAATAATAAAAAGGTATTTTACGTATTACGGACGGGCGTGATTGTAGCCACAAATCCACCCAACGCTCCTGCCACCAAATTATTTAATTTTTATCCAATACTATGGTCGGTGGATCGACCGGGAATCGATCCCAGCACCGCGTTCTGCTACCAAATGTTACGGCCAACAGCTGCCCTGCCTAAACAGGAGTTGGATCCTTCGCGGCCCATAGACGAAGGAGCCACGGGCAGATGCAGGTCGGGCGTTCCTACGCCGAGGGTCAAAGGTTTCTAATGAACACGCGAGGGGAAAGGTCACTAGAAGAAATGCACTTACCTGCCTCAGGAGCGCAGACGGTTCTCCTAGACCGGCCCGGCTGATGGAAGTTGTGCTTGGTGTATGCGGTGTTGTGAGTGTAGGTGTAATTGTGTGAGCTGGTATGTTGACGGGAACCGATCTGGATGACTCGACGACGTCCGGGAGAAGGCACGCGCTGGTATCCCCGGAACTTCACCCTTCTGGAGGCACTCGTAAGGGGTTGTCACCAAATGGGACGGCTTCTCTGGTAGTCCTTCAGATGTAAATCACTTTGATAGTTGCGCGCGAATTTCACCGAGTTAGTACGTTCTAATAACGATACCGTTATTGCAACGATTTACGCGGATTGTTTCTTTAGCAAGTTTAGGCGCGAAAAAATACGTCCGTATAGTTCGCAAGAAAAATCCTACTACCTCGCGAGAAGAGCCACACCGACTCGTTGCGGCGGCCGGGGGGGCGGGGGAGAGGGAAGGTGCCCTTGATATCGAGGCCAAAAGCGCGCGTTAAATCCTGCGTTTTTATTGCAAATTTTCCTGCCTAGACAGACATAATTAGTTGTTTATAATGACCAATGATAAAACCAATTATGAACAAAATATCTTTATTAAAAATATTAATGAGACGTTTTTCTTGTCTCTAACAGGTGCCGCGTAATTTGTGCACCACCTAAAAACACAGGAAGGCATTTTTACCACGAATAACCGCGCCGTAGCGAAGGTATAGCGGTGACGCGAGACGCCCGAGTGAATACGAGAATAATACTAAATTGCCATTTTAGAACGAGTATGACGTATCTATACTTTAAAAACATCTTAGGTTTTTAGCGTGTTTTATTTAACAGTAACTAATTTGTATATAAAATGCGAAGAAAATCCATCATATAAGGTCGGGGAAAAAGAACCTTATTTCCCGACCTTATATAATGGATTTCCGCAAAGTAACGCCTGATTCTATTAATTAGTTTTCGGTGTATTTAGTCAAAATTATCAGCCTGACAAAATTCCACCGCCGAATATTGTCCTACTCAGTCATGGAAAACCGGACGATTGACAATCACACCACCAAAACTTTGTATTTGTTCATTTTATTGAGAACATTACTTAATACATTTCATTTATTACAAAAAATTTAATCGACATAGTTACTAAGATATTCACTTATGGAATTTTTATGGCTCCTGATCGTCGGTCCGAGCACTTAGGATCCGTGTGAACAGTAAAAATAACAAACAACCATAATGACGTTATTAGGTCCTACTGGCCGTTTTTCGGCCACGGTGACCTCTTCTGAATATTATAGGAAACTTTGGCGTATATATAATAATAATATATACGCCAAAGTTTCTTAAGTCAGATCATAAGTCAGATCCGTTCTTTTTATATTCGGGAATACTAGATACTATAGGCCTGTGTTTATAATTTTCATAGTTTTAGCGTGATGGACTCAGAGAAGTCCGACATGGTTGAGTGGATGGGGGCTGTGGAACAGTGCACTCCGTAGTCCACGTCTTATGAAGGCACGCTCCACACCAGCTATGGGTGCTTGTGCGCCGCGTCTAATAACTGCACATATGTGTGCGTGTCGGTGCGTGTCGGTATGTGTAGGTGTGTGTAGGTGTGTGTAGGTGTCTGACGATATGAGTCGGTGCGTGTTGGTGCGTTTCGGTGCGTGTAGTTATGTGAAGTGCGTGTTGGTGCGTGCCGGTGCGAGTCGTTCGGTGTCGGTATATGTCGGTGTGTGTCGGTGTGGTCACCTGTCGCGCAGCGCGGCGACGTGCGCCTGCACGCGGCGGCGCGCGTCGTCGGCCCACACCAGCTCGGGGTGCTCGTGCGTGGCGTCGAATGACTGCGCCGCCACGCTGCTCGACTCGCGCATCGCGTCCGCGAACACGCCCGGCACGTACCGCGATATCGTCAGCCGTACCTGCACAACACCGCACCGTGTCCTACTTTATTATAAAACATTCTTGCAGATGATGTAGATGATGGTGTGTGCAGAAACTGCCAATATGGTTTCTGTACAATATGTTGCTACATTAAAATATGGGGTGGATAATAACACCTCGCAACATTCATTTCTGTATATGTTTTACTTATAGCACAAATTTGAAAATCAATATTTTTACTTTATTTAAAAGTTGGTGGGTTACATGACAAAATAAAAAATCGATTAAATGATCCCTCATCCCAAAAAGGTTGAGAGCCACTGGTTTAGACTGGTGACAAAAGCTTACATCTGCGACTACCTTCAAGCGGAGATCACAGATACGTTATTGCCTCCGAGAACTAAGATGAAATGTCACACGCCCTGTAATTATACTGACTCTTCAGCCCAGAACACGGCAGGCATCTAGCGTACATATCGTTATTTTCGTAAATTAGTTTCGTTTTGAGTTCTATTCAATAACGTTGATATTTTAAACAATAAATAATAATAAGGATCACAGTACTACTAATTTTATATTTATATTTATATTATTTTCATTTGTACAAGTGAACTTTCATACCTTAGGTCCATGCAATTTATCGGACATCATTCGAGCCAACAATTCCGCGGCTGCTTCTCTTGTTTCTGGTATTTTACTGTTGCAAAACAGATCCAAAAGGTATATCACAGCACCTGTGTAACAAAACAAAATATTTGTAAAGATTACTAAATACACTTACATAAATTTACTTTCTATGAGGCGTTGTTGATAAAAATTAATTTGTTACTTTGCTTGTAAAATTATTTCAAAAATTTACTATTTATTATTTAACCTTTTTCATGTGTGTTCTTATAAGAATAAAGATATCTCAGACCACATTATATGTGTGATTCTGTCTCCCTCTCACACTTCCTTACAAGGCAATTCGTTTCTGCAACAGTTTTTTTTTTATAGGATCGGGTGACAAACGAGCACACAGTCCACTTGATGGTAAGTGGTTACTGTGACCCATAGACATCTACTCTCATAGATATCTATCCTCAATAAAGACTCAAGATGCAGATGCGTTGTCACCCGTGAGGACTAAGATGGAATGCCTCTTTGCCAGTAAAAGGGTCTCCGGTTCTCTACACTCACCATACGAAACACAGCAGCGTTAAGCTGCTATTTTACGCTGGTTTTCTGTGAGAGCGTGGTCCTTCCCCGGTCGAGCCGACCCATTCGTGCTACAACCATAATATAGCTGCAGCATAGCTCTACCACGTAGAAACAGTAGTTTCATCGAGCAATATCATAATATTGAAACTCTCCTGTATATTTTCATATACACCTTCGTGTTAATTTGTTTTACTACAGAGTTTATATCCTTATAGTAAAAACATATATAAGAATATCAACTCGTATTGTGTGAATACAAGAATAGCAAGTGCTGCACACTGCAGCACGTGCACACACACAGCAACACGTACCCTTGGCGAGCGCCTCGCGCACGAGCGCGGTGCTGGCGAGCAGCGCAGCGAGCGCGGGCAGCGCGCCGGGCGGCGGCGCGCGCTCGCCCAGCAGCGGCAGCAGGTGGCCCAGCACGCCGGCCGCCGCCACGTGCTGCACGCACTGCACGTGCACACACACAGCAACACGTACCCTTGGCGAGCGCCTCGCGCACGAGCGCGGTGCTGGCGAGCAGCGCAGCGAGCGCGGGCAGCGCGCCGGGCGGCGGCGCGCGCTCGCCCAGCAGCGGCAGCAGGTGGCCCAGCACGCCGGCCGCCGCCACGTGCTGCACGCACTGCACGTGCACACACACAGCAACACGTACCCTTGGCGAGCGCCTCGCGCACGAGCGCGGTGCTGGCGAGCAGCGCAGCGAGCGCGGGCAGCGCGCCGGGCGGCGGCGCGCGCTCGCCCAGCAGCGGCAGCAGGTGGCCCAGCACGCCGGCCGCCGCCACGTGCTGCACGCACTGCACGTGCACACACACAGCAACACGTACCCTTGGCGAGCGCCTCGCGCACGAGCGCGGTGCTGGCGAGCAGCGCAGCGAGCGCGGGCAGCGCGCCGGGCGGCGGCGCGCGCTCGCCCAGCAGCGGCAGCAGGTGGCCCAGCACGCCGGCCGCCGCCACGTGCTGCACGCACTGCACGTGCACACACACAGCAACACGTACCCTTGGCGAGCGCCTCGCGCACGAGCGCGGTGCTGGCGAGCAGCGCAGCGAGCGCGGGCAGCGCGCCGGGCGGCGGCGCGCGCTCGCCCAGCAGCGGCAGCAGGTGGCCCAGCACGCCGGCCGCCGCCACGTGCTGCACGCACTGCACGTGCACACACACAGCAACACGTACCCTTGGCGAGCGCCTCGCGCACGAGCGCGGTGCTGGCGAGCAGCGCAGCGAGCGCGGGCAGCGCGCCGGGCGGCGGCGCGCGCTCGCCCAGCAGCGGCAGCAGGTGGCCCAGCACGCCGGCCGCCGCCACGTGCTGCACGCACTGCACGTGCACACACACAGCAACACGTACCCTTGGCGAGCGCCTCGCGCACGAGCGCGGTGCTGGCGAGCAGCGCAGCGAGCGCGGGCAGCGCGCCGGGCGGCGGCGCGCGCTCGCCCAGCAGCGGCAGCAGGTGGCCCAGCACGCCGGCCGCCGCCACGTGCTGCACGCACTGCACGTGCACACACACAGCAACACGTACCCTTGGCGAGCGCCTCGCGCACGAGCGCGGTGCTGGCGAGCAGCGCAGCGAGCGCGGGCAGCGCGCCGGGCGGCGGCGCGCGCTCGCCCAGCAGCGGCAGCAGGTGGCCCAGCACGCCGGCCGCCGCCACGTGCTGCACGCACTGCACGTGCACACACACAGCAACACGTACCCTTGGCGAGCGCCTCGCGCACGAGCGCGGTGCTGGCGAGCAGCGCAGCGAGCGCGGGCAGCGCGCCGGGCGGCGGCGCGCGCTCGCCCAGCAGCGGCAGCAGGTGGCCCAGCACGCCGGCCGCCGCCACGTGCTGCACGCACTGCACGTGCACACACACAGCAACACGTACCCTTGGCGAGCGCCTCGCGCACGAGCGCGGTGCTGGCGAGCAGCGCAGCGAGCGCGGGCAGCGCGCCGGGCGGCGGCGCGCGCTCGCCCAGCAGCGGCAGCAGGTGGCCCAGCACGCCGGCCGCCGCCACGTGCTGCACGCACTGCACGTGCACACACACAGCAACACGTACCCTTGGCGAGCGCCTCGCGCACGAGCGCGGTGCTGGCGAGCAGCGCAGCGAGCGCGGGCAGCGCGCCGGGCGGCGGCGCGCGCTCGCCCAGCAGCGGCAGCAGGTGGCCCAGCACGCCGGCCGCCGCCACGTGCTGCACGCACTGCACGTGCACACACACAGCAACACGTACCCTTGGCGAGCGCCTCGCGCACGAGCGCGGTGCTGGCGAGCAGCGCAGCGAGCGCGGGCAGCGCGCCGGGCGGCGGCGCGCGCTCGCCCAGCAGCGGCAGCAGGTGGCCCAGCACGCCGGCCGCCGCCACGTGCTGCACGCACTGCACGTGCACACACACAGCAACACGTACCCTTGGCGAGCGCCTCGCGCACGAGCGCGGTGCTGGCGAGCAGCGCAGCGAGCGCGGGCAGCGCGCCGGGCGGCGGCGCGCGCTCGCCCAGCAGCGGCAGCAGGTGGCCCAGCACGCCGGCCGCCGCCACGTGCTGCACGCACTGCACGTGCACACACACAGCAACACGTACCCTTGGCGAGCGCCTCGCGCACGAGCGCGGTGCTGGCGAGCAGCGCAGCGAGCGCGGGCAGCGCGCCGGGCGGCGGCGCGCGCTCGCCCAGCAGCGGCAGCAGGTGGCCCAGCACGCCGGCCGCCGCCACGTGCTGCACGCACTGCACGTGCACACACACAGCAACACGTACCCTTGGCGAGCGCCTCGCGCACGAGCGCGGTGCTGGCGAGCAGCGCAGCGAGCGCGGGCAGCGCGCCGGGCGGCGGCGCGCGCTCGCCCAGCAGCGGCAGCAGGTGGCCCAGCACGCCGGCCGCCGCCACGTGCTGCACGCACTGCACGTGCACACACACAGCAACACGTACCCTTGGCGAGCGCCTCGCGCACGAGCGCGGTGCTGGCGAGCAGCGCAGCGAGCGCGGGCAGCGCGCCGGGCGGCGGCGCGCGCTCGCCCAGCAGCGGCAGCAGGTGGCCCAGCACGCCGGCCGCCGCCACGTCCTCCACGCACTCGCGCACGCCGCTCGCCGCCTGTGCCGCACGCAGGGCCGCCGCGCGCATCAGCCCCCACGTGCGCCCAGAGATCAGCCCGAAAATCAGTCCGAATGAGCCGATGCACTGGATCTCCACTCCTGCACACATTAACAAACTTATAAAAGTAAAAGTGTATGACGAGCACCTAATCCATCTGTGGTACATATAGACATCAAGGGTTTCCATCTCTCGTCTCTTTTTTCTTAAAACTATTCTTATTTGTTATGGCTCGTAATGGTGGTGGATGTTCATTCCAACATTTTGCGGCCATAAATTTGTAACAACCACGAAATGCTGACGTCTAGTGTTCAAGTATGCGAAGTAATATTGCACACTTTCGAATATTGTACAAACGATGATTTTTTCCCAAGCTTTTCATATTCTGTATAAGTATTCAGAGTTCTTTGTTTTTATTACTCCAAATATCAGGGAAGCAGAAATAGTTTCCTCCTAAATTTTATTGGACTTTAATCTGTCAAGCCTTTGAAGTACACATGAGGCAATCCAAGGTCAACTTTGTAGAACGCTCCAAAGAGTGTGGTAATATTTAGGAAGGACCCCTCAGAACCAAAGAGTATATGATCACTACACTACGTTTAGTCAGAACCATAGTTATTGTGCTCGTAACAATTATTTTTTAAATGTTATTTAGATGAACTACAAAACTAAAATTTTATTAGAATTAGTTTCGTTATTAAATTACGCTTCTTTAAATTAACAGAATTTACTTCAAATGACGAGTTTCCGCCTCGCGTCGCGTTTACGTCACATACTTTAGTCTTATATCCTTCGCCGCGTGAGTGTAAGAGGCAACTAGAAATTTTACAAAAAATTAAGTGGGTACAATAGAAAGTTTTTTGTTAGTTTTTATACAAATGGTAAGTAATTACACTGTTTTAAAATTTAATTCCTTATATTTTGCTTCGTAACAATTTCATATATTTTATAAAATTGCCATTTCAAATACTGTGTCGTTCACGTATCACTATATTTAATAGCCAGAATTAACTGAAAAGTAAATAAAAAGTGTGAGTTATCACAATAAATCATGTAATAAACACAAATTTTCATATCCCACAAAGTCCAATGCGCGAAAATTACGTTTTATGTTATAATTTCGATATATAGTGAACATTATGGCGAAGTTGTTTTCAACAATAACTAAAAATAAAAATGTGAATGTGAAGCACCAGCTTTCAAATAAAAAAAGAATCATCGAAATCAGTTCACCCAGAAGGTTATGAGGTAACACACATAAAAAAACACAGTCGACTTCCTTCTCCTGTTTGAAGTCGTTAGAAAAATGGCGTTGCTAAAAGATAGCGTAATAAAGTATATACTTTATTACGCTATCTTACGGATGTACAAGTATATACCTGTGATTTAATTTTTTTTTTGAGGCTTCTACTGAGTTTATCGATATAATTATATTATATATTTCTTTTCTTTATGAAAATCAAGTGTTTCTATGTCCTTGTTTCTTTCTTCATAATATTTATTCGATTTTAACATATATATATATATATATATATATATATATATATATATATATATATATATATGTATATATATTGAATTTTAACATAATATAGCGATTCGTTAGATTTGCCTTAGTTGTAAAAGTGAAATAATATTTACTTTTTTTTCTTTTCAGTAGAATTGTTTGGTTTTGTTATTTAATATTGTTTTAACCATTGAACTTGTTTACGCAACTTTTGTTTAATAAATTGTTTGATGCTGTTTGATGACTTTTTTACACATAATTGTTTACCACCGGCGGATTTTCCGAACCGATACGACTTAGGGACCTTCAAGAAAAGAGCTTACACCTTTCTAAACGGCCGGCAACGCATCTGCAATTCCCCTGGTGTTGCGGTTGTTCGTGGGCGGCGGTAGTCACTTACCATCAGGTGAGCCGCATGCTCGTTTGCCCCCTCTTCTATAAAAAAAAAGTGCCGGTTCAACTATATGTCTACTTAGTGCAACTTTTATGCTGGAGAAGTTCGTTCTGTCAAATGCACCTTCCATATCTATGAAGAAACCTAGACATATTTCTTTGTTTTGGATGGCCTCTTTAATCCTTGTTATTACTTGGTGAAGTGTCGATTTGCCTAGGCTGTAGGCATGTTGCTTGTCGTGTAGCGGTAAGTTCATTAGCGCCATCCCCCTTAATTTCCTTTTACACATCTTCTGGCTAATAATAATAAAAAAATGGATCTATAGGATTTTGGGTCCGTATAAAGCCAGACATGCTCTCACTATGGCAACAAGTCTGACTATTAGGCTTCCCCCCCACTATAGGAGTTCCAGGAGAATGTCGTCAGGTCCATGAATGGCCCAATAGATGTTATCTACCATTACAACTTTCTGAGATAAATTCCAGTCTTCTGCTGTTGGTATCAGTATATCTTCATGCCGGCTTACCCCCAGAGTTACGCAGCAATCTGGGAAGTGCGTTTCAATTAGGATGCGTTGTGTTTCATCCGGCGATGTTGGCTTAACTTCCGTCGGGTTTCTTTAACGATATGGATGCCGGCGTATGTGTTTAGCTAGGATTTTCCTTATCCGATTCACTTGTTCACAGGTTTTATGTTACCACAGAATTTCTCCGATGCTAGCTGAGGCAGCAAAGGGAGTGCCTTGAAACTGAGGAGATACGACAAGGGGGTTCTTTTTAGCGGTAAACGCGCAAACTTGTGTCTTCTGGGGATTGATATCGGCGTGAAGTAGAAGCTCTGCTTCTGCGTTTGGTGAGTGCAGGTGGCAGGAGGCCCAATTCCCCCCCTCCCCCATCAACATGGTAGCGGAATTACACAAAAGACTACCCCAGGAGGGTACCAGCACCCCTGGAGAATCCCACGCTGAGCATCCACGACCATGTTATTCCACTCCTGAGCGTGGGTGCTCAGGCTGCCCCGCGTATTCTGGGCAAAAACATAACTGCTCGGGGCAAACTGAGCAACAATACCAAGGCGACCCATGCCACGCTATCCGTGAATTTCTGGAACATCAGGGGACTTCACTCGAACCTAAACGCCGTCCACTACCATCTCGAGACGGAGAAGCCGGCCTTACTTTTTCTGACCGAGACGCAGGTGTCCTCTCCGGCTGATACTTCGTATCTCTCCTAACCGGGGTGCAAATTGGAGCACTCCATTGTGCCTCGGGCCGGAGTTTGCGTGTATGTCAGAGAGGACATCTGTTCTCGACGCCTCGGCAGTCTTGACGGTTCGGACCTGTCCATCCTTTGGCTACGCGTAGACAGCGACGACCATCCACGTGTCTATGGGTGTCTCTATAGGTCCCATAGCGGTAATGCCGAAACAGACCGACTCATCGACCACGTCCAAATGGCTATAGATTCCTTGCTACCACAGGTCCCATCCGCAGAGATCGTGATCCTTGGCGATTTTAACGCCCACCACGCCTAATGGCTCGGTTCACGTTTAACCGATCATGCGGGGAGATCTGTTTATAACTTTGCCTGGGCATATGATCTGACACAACTGGTTACATCGCCTACGCGGATTCTAGATGTTGAGGATCATACACCTTCCCTGTTGGACCTTCTGCTGACCTCTCATCCGGACGGATATCAGGTTTCCGTCGATGCCCCTCTCGGCTCTTCGGACCATTGTCTGATCCGGAGTGTGGTGCCACTCACGCTCCCCTCGCGGTTGCGTTCTGCAGGTTGTCACCGTGTTTGGCATTACAAAACGGCGAATTGGGACGGAATGCGGTCTTTCTTTGCATCCTACCCATGGGGCCGAGTTTGCTTCTCGCCGGATGATCCCAGCGCTGTTGCTGACTCTGTCACTGATGTGGTGCTACAGGGAATGGGACTATTTATTCCATCATCTGTGGTACCCATCGGAGGCAGATCTCAGCCTTGGTTTGGTCGCTCCTGTAAGACTGCATTACGCAGTAAGCAGGAGTGTTATCAAGCCTGGGCTGCGGCTTCGGCGACTCGGGATGTAAACACCAGCATACTTAAAAAGAAGTATAACTTCGCCTACTGGTCCGTCAAAAGAGTTATTGCCAAGGCAAAGTCAGAGCACATAGGCAGAATTGGCGAGAAACTAGTTCGCCTTCCTTCGGGAACCCGTGCATTCTGGTCTCTCGCCAAGGCTGTCCAAGGGAATTTCTGTAAGCCATCACTACCATCTCTGCACAGGGAGGACGACTCACTGGCCCAAGCCGCAAAAGTCAAAGCCGACCTTTTAGGCTCCCTTTTTGCGTCCAACTCGACTCTTGATGACGGGGGGAAAACACCGCCGACCATCACGCGGTGTGAGTGCTGCTGTTCTCACAGCGCTCGGTTCACAGAGCACTCCTCTCCCTGGACATCTAGAAGTCGAGTGGGCCTGACGGAATCCCCCCAATTGTGCTGAGGATGTGTGCTATGGAGTTGGCACCGGTCCTAACGCGTCATTTCCGGTACTCCTACTCCCTAGGCGTAGTCCCGAATTTATGGAAGACAGCTTTTGTCCACCTGATCCCTAAAAAAGGCGACCGCTCAGACCCGTCCAACTATAGGCCTATTGCCATCACCTCCTTTTCCAAAATAATGGAATCCATTATTAACTGCCAGCTCATGCGGTACCTTGAGGATCACCAGCTGATTAGTGACCGCCAATACGGTTTTCGTCGGGGTTGATCAGCTGGTGATCTTCTGGTCTACCTGACCCATAGATGGGCGGAGGCAGTAGAGTCCAAGGGGGAGGCGTTGGCCGTTAGTTTGGACATTGCGAAGGCCTTCGATCGGGTTTGGCACAAAGCGCTTCTTTCGAAGCTCCCTTCCTATGGGCTTCCCGAGAAATTGTGCAATTGGATCACCAGCTTCCTTGCAGAACGGAGCATCAAGGTCGTTGTAGACGGTGCATGCTCCGACTACAAGCCTATTAACGCTGGTGTTCCACAAGGCTGTGTGTTATCACCAACGCTGTTTCTTCTGCATATCAATGACATGTTGCTAACTGGTAATATTCATTGCTATGCGGATGACAGCACTGGTGATGCTTTATACACCGACCGTGCCAATATTTCTCGGGAAAACGTCGCTGAGTACCGGAACAAACTTGTGCCTGAAGTCGAGTCTTTGCTGAACAAAGTCTCGGATTGGGGGCGACTAAATTTAGTCCAGTTTAATCCTCAGAAGACACAAATTTGCGCGTTTAGCGCTAAAAAGAACTCTTTTGTCGTATCTCCTCAGTTTTAAGGCACTCCCCTTCTTGCCTCAGCCAGTATCGGAATCCTCGGAGTCGACATATCGAGTGACGTGCAGTTTCGTGGTCACTTGGAAGAGATGGCCAAATTGGCCTCCAAAAAGCTTGGCGTGCTCAGCAGAGCGGGACAGTATTTCATGCCGGCACACCACCTGCAACTTTACAAAGCGCAGGTTCGGCCTCACATGGAATACTGTTCCCATCTCTGGGACTGAGACTGAGCGACATGAAACTGTGTGAAATTAGTATGTGTGAGTACGGTATGTCAGAGGAGCATGTTCACCATGTTCTATGGGAATGTCCTCTGTATGATGACCTAAGAGTGAAAATGATGGATGGACTAGTTCGTCCGGTTCAGGGACCAGTTTACTACTCGGATCTCGTCAGCGATGTGGTAAACTACGGACTGTTGCGCGAGTTTGCACATAGGTGGCACGATCGCAGGACAAGGAGGATGGAAGGCTGGTAGGAGGGCCCGACGACGTAGGCGTCAATGTGTCGTTAGCCCCAGAAGGGGGAGAATCACGTCAAACTGGGACAAGGAATAGATTAAATATTTGTAGGGAGTCAAAAAAGTGTGCGCGGGAAAGAGCCACGTGCAAGTACCGCGCGCATCTCCCGAGATTCGGCGCGTATGACCTGAGGGTCGGTGGGGCCATGGGAGGTGGTGGGTTGTTTCCATCTCTGGGCAGGGACTCCCCAATGCCAGCTCCTTCCACTTGACCGCATCCAGCGCAGAGCGGCTCGAATCGTCGACGACCGAGTCCTTTCCGATCAGTTCGATTCATTGGCACTGCGAAAAGATGTTGCATCCCTTTGCATTTTCTTTCGCATCTACCACAGGGAGTGCTCTGAGGAATTGTTCGGATTAATCCCAGCCGCCAAATTTCACAAATGCACATTGCGGCAGAACTCCCGACACCATCCACACCATTTGAATGATTGGCGGTCCACCACTGTGCGATTTAGAAAATGTTTTGTTCCTCGCACGACTTCCTTGTGGAATCGATTACCATCAGCGATTTTTCCGGACCGATACGACTTAGGGACCTTCAAGAAAAGAGCGTACTCCTTTTTAAAAGGCCGGCAACGCATCTGCAATACCCCTGGTGTTGCGGTTGTTCATGGGCGGCGGTAGTCACTTACCATCAGGTGAGCCGCATGCTCGTTTGCCCCCTCTCCTATAAAAAAAAGTAAACATGCTCAGTACACGAACAATAAAGATTGCTGGTAAATCTCAAACAATCCAGATTAAGAAAGGCTGCCCGCAGTCATTAGACTCAAGACCCTAAATCTTTGGAGTAAGAGTAGAAGTCCCTTATACAGGTATAATTGATAGAATTTACATCAAAATTGCTATCTTACAAGCCAAGTACGATGAGATCCCTAAAATATTTGTGTTTGAAATTCATTGTCATTTCTCTTATACTGACCTGTAAGAATTACAAACGCCAACGGTAAACTAAGCGTCTACTACTATAAATTCTCTAATTGATTTTCGATAAGTTTTCTTCCTTTAATTATTTTTTTTTATTTTAAAACAGTGTACTAGCCAAGCCAGCCTGCTAATTTACAAATTACAGTTTTAAATAATAAGTAATAGTACAAGATACATGTCAAGTAGAATCAAACAAGAAACTAGTACTCTGTCAGCCGAAGTGTCAAGTCAAGCGAAGAACTCCGTGCAAATTTTGACGCGCCTACCGCAGCAGCAATCTTATGATATATATAATAAGATTAAACGTAATTTACTCATTAAGAAAAAAGCGGATGAGCGAATTAAAAAATATCAGCGTCAGGGGTTCAAAATTAATTACGGCTTTATTATGTGATTATTTATTTGTTTTACCACCCGAGGCGTACATTTAGAATTAGTTAATAATCTTTCTACGCAAGAAGATAACATATTGTGATATATTATGTTATCTTGCTTAAAAAGATTTATTGGCTTTCAAACGTTTCATATCAATTTGCGGCAAGCAGTGTTAAATATATTCAGACAACGGAAAATATTTCGTTGGAGCTGAAAAAAATTCACAATAATTTTTCAAAACTAAAATGAAATCGTTGATTTTGCATGAAATATTGTTATTTGTTTTTCTTTCATACATATTTCGTATTTCGGGTTTATTTGTTGTTTACGCTATCTACCTATACGAACCAAGCATCTCGATTCCCGACGAATGACCTTGCAAGTTGCATGCGTTGGGCATCACAGAACTCACATAGTAGATAATATGGTCGATTATAGTCAGCATAGGTACTTTACCTAAGTAACTTACCATTTCAGTGTATTTTTTTACTCTTTATTAACAGCCCTTAGCAACCATGGAAAGTCCGTTGTGACGTAGTAAGGATAATAGATGCAAAGTAATACGGACAATCGTGCGCAGCGATAAAGTTTTATTTAGCTTGCGTGCGCGATTTACCTGATTAATAATACGTATGCTATTAAAACGTCGGCAAGCAGTCAACATCAAAAGAGTGCAACTTCTGTACGTTAGTACTATTATTTATTCTGTGACAGGGCGTTAACTAACTGGATATATTTGGATTTGTTTTATTGTTTTTTTTTTCTTCTTATTAGTACATTTGTTATTGCTATTAAACTTATATGAGTTGAGACAAGTTAAAGAGCTAAATTGAAGCAAAACAAATAATACCTTCATAATAAAAATAATGTATACCGCCCGATTCGTCCGCCGGTTTCTTTCCCTTTTCCTCTAACCCTCGGCCGTTTGGACTCCCCTGTCGAGGGCTTCCATCTGGTTGGGTTTTTATTTATTTATGCTTTTTTATGTATTTATTTTATTTTATTGATATTTATGTATGTTTATCATTTTCATTTACAATTATATATTAACACAGCCCAACCAGATGAGAAAACTATATAGATACCCCACAAAATAATGGTAGATAATCTTACCAGGATTCTTAATGATGACGTTTGCCAAAGCATTAAGAGCTAATGTGATGTGTTCGACTCTTTCGTCAGTCATTTCATTTTGAGTTTGTTCTTCTATAAATTTGAGTAAATCTATCACAAACTGCTGAGGATTCTGTAAATAAGCATTGTAAATTTAACAATTGTTTAACCATTTTAAATAACATTTATATCTCAAACCTTGCAGTCTACGCACCTCGATGGGGAAGTCGGGCTGCTCATTGTAGATATCTAGATAGACGCTACCCACGGGCAACAATCCCTCATGTGCCGTGTACTTGAAACCGGGCTCCACTAGCGGCTCATCATCTTCAAGCGAACGCCAATGAGACAGCAGTTCCTTCAGCTCAGCGCGTGTACTGTTGTCCCAAACGAGGTACGGCGTCCGCCAATTCGACGTGAGAGTTTTTAGGAGCTGAAAACATAAATACCTGTTAGTAAGTGATTTTTAAATAAGCGCTGTCAGAGAAACGCCGAGCATAGCCCTCTCCATAGCTCGCTGAGCGACTTTGAGCTTCCTCATACGGCCAGCAGTGAAAGGTCACCACTGGCAACACGCACTGGTTGTACATGTATGTACTGTTGTTAGTGTTTCAGAAACAGAACTTGCAGCATTCTTGTGGGTAGGAGTAACGGACTTCTTTTAGTATGTGCAGCAGATAAACAGCACCATTTCGTTTTAAACGTGTTATGTTATCCTAAGAGACTAATTTCGTATGTAGATAAAAATATGTAATATTTTTTATACATACCAAATACGAGGGCTGCACTAAAAGTATCGGGAATAGAATATTTCCACTGTTCCTATCATATTAAAATCTTTTTAATTGAAAACTCCTTGGTTTTAAAAATCGAATACCATTTATTTATTTAAAAAAAGATTCTCGGTCTTACCACATGGTTTTATCAAACTTGTTTAGTCGTTGAGAAAATGGAATTGACTCGAGAAAATTCAAGAGCGATGATTTATTATTATTTTATTTATTTATTTATTTATTCTTTATTGCATTCCTTAATCTAAAATAATACAAAGGGCGGACTTAATGCCTTGTGGCATTCTCTACCAGTCAACCCATATATTATGACTTTTTGAAGTGGTTTAACACAAAAACTTTGTGTTGACCGGATGATTTCTGCATTTGGTGATGAAGCCCCATCCAAAACCACAATTTATCGCTGGTTTGCTGAATTTCAACGTGGACGTGTCAAGCTCAGTGATAATCCCCGTCAAGGTCGTCCAAAAACTGCAGTCACCCAAGAAAACGTTGATGCTGTGCGTAAGCTGATTGAGGAAGATCGACATGTGATATACCGCGAAATTCAGGCAACTTTAGACATCGGCATGAGTCAAATACAAATAATCTTGCATGAACAATTAGGTGTAAAAATTTGTTTTCCCGATGGACACCGCATTCGCTCTGTGAAGAGCAAAAAGCGGCTCGCGTTACTTGGTGCGTCAGAACTCTCGAAAGATTCCACGCAGGATCCTCAAATGCTGTATCCTGGATATACGCGTACGAACCCGAAACAAAAAACCAGTCACGAGTTTGGGTGTTCGAAAATGAGTTAAAGCCAACAAAAATTGTTCGTTCACGGAGTGTTGCAAAAAAATGGTGGCCACGTTTGTCTCCAAAACCGGCCATGTTACGACTATTCCTCTTGAGGGACAAAGAACGGTTTATGCAGAATGGTATGCTAGCTTTTGTTTGCCACAGGTCGTTTCTGAACTCCGTAAAGAGAACTGCAACCGCCGCATCATCCTCCATCACGACAATGCGAGTTCTCACACCGCACACAGAACAAAAGAGTTTTTAGAGCAAGAAAACATAGAATTATTAGACCATCCGCCGTACAGCCCCGATCTAAGCCCTAATGATTTCTATACTTTCCCTAAAATAAAGAATAAATTGCGTGGACAGAGATTTTCATCACCTGAAGGAGCTGTGGACGCCTACAAAACGGCCATTTTGGAAACCCCAACTTCCGAATGGAATGGTTGCTTCAATGATTGGTTCCATCGTATGGAAAAATGTGTCAAATTTCGCGGAGAATAATTCGAAAAGCAATAAATACATTTTTAAATAGTAATGTTGTGTCACTTCCTTGATTCCCGAAATTTTCAGTGCCGCCCTCGTATGTATATAGTTACCCTTACCTCATGCCTATCGGGCTGTGAGAGTCGTGCACACAAGTATGGAGTGAGTAATAAGTGCAATGCTTCGCGCACGCGCTCGTCTTCCGGCGTAGTTTCTTCATGCGGGCCATACATTGCACTCAGAGCTGTCACACACTGGACTGCCAACTGATTAGCCACCACCTGCGGATTACAAATATTTATTAGAATCTATAAGTGATATAGATTAGTAAGCTAATGTAGCAATAGTCCGGTCATATAGCTCGAAAACCTGTGTTGTTCTTTTTTATGCTTTTTTTACTTGTTTAGACCTGATTAAGTTTAGTTGACATCAAACATCAGTAACAAACGGAAGGATACTTGTTTTTAGTGGCTAACTAAGTGTTTTTCTACATGTTATTCTTGAAATGGAGAGTAACTGACTTTTTTTATGCAGAGATTGCAAACCTTTTGTACTATTTTGTTTTATTAAAAAAAAAAAACATTTAAATAAGTAGGTACAGCCAAATCACCCTGAAAAACCTTAGTTTTTATTAAATTAAATTTTCACCTAATAATAACATTTCTAAATATCAAACAATCAAGAAACTTAATTTGGAAAAAATAAGGTTTATGATTCATTGATATTTTCAAATGTTATATATATTATTTAATGTTATATTCATCTCATATTTATTATTTCTTATATTATTCGGCGAGCATGTGACTATTCTATGATACCGAAGTTACCGCGGAGACTTTTCAATATGGTTTAGCAGTGCTGCGTGTTCAATGGGAAGGTATGTAACATAGCAATGATTTTTCATTTTTTTAGAACTAAATCTAAAACAAGTATTCCACCATTTTAAGCAGAATTAAACAATAAGACAAACGCATTGTTTTTTTTTAACAGGAGACTTGTTTTTCAGAAACTTGTTTACAACTAGAGTTTGTGAGCGATCGCAATGAGTGCTATTATTTGTTTCTTATTAGAGTATTTGCCCCAACATGTTTTAAAAACCCACTAACTAAAAAGAGTACAAGTTAAAAAAAGATTGTCAACCCCTAAAGATTTCAAATTTTCAAAATATCCAGAAACGAAGCTGCAGGCAAGAATTACTTGTAAAATAATGAATATTTTGTTCTGAATAAATCTTTCAAAAACGCAATTTGAACGAGTTATAACGATTTTTAAAATGACACGTCTGGCGTGCGATCCTTATTGAACCGGTTATCATCATCATCATTACAGCTCTTGATAAGTCCAATGCTGAACATAGGTCTCTCCCAAGGTATGCCACAAAGCACGATCCTGAGCCACCTTTATTTATCGATATTTTCAAGTCTTACCAGGTCGTCACTCTATCTAGTCAACGGTCCTTGATATGAATAAATTTTCAAGAAAATCGGTAGTCTACCAGTTGGTAAAAATTAAGTTAAAAGATTTCGTTAGATAGATATGAATATAAGAGTGTGTTATAAATAAAATTAAAAATTTTCAAATTTCCCAAAACAAAAAGAGCTGATCTTCAAACGGTTGTACCGATTTTCTTGAAACATAGCTAACAACACTCTCGATTACGGCATCATTCAAACAAAAAAAAACAACTTAATCAAAATCGGTTAATCCGTTCAGGAGCTATGATGCCACAGACAGACAGACAGACACACAGACACACAGATGCAAAGATATAACAGCCCTCTGTTTTGGTTAGGAGTTAGAGCAGTACCTGTTTGTTCTCTCCCTCGGTGGGCAAGCCAGACTCGGCGAGCGTGTAGTCGTAGCGCAGCGTGTGCGGCAGCAGCGCGTGCAGCGCGCCGGCTCGCGCCAGGCGCGCGCGGCACGCCGCCTCCGCCGCCAGCGCCGCCGCCGCCTCCGCGCCCGCACATGCGCAGTCGCCCAGTTGCTGCAACACAACCACACGCACTCTACTCAACCTCACTACTGAAGGATAAGATGAGGATGATATGGAGAAATTAAATAATCTGGCAATAACCTGAAAAACTGGCATAATCATCCTCGAGCATAGACGTCATTACCAACAGCAGTTTCAGCATCTTCCTCCGTCACAAGGGAAAGGTAAATAAGTTCAACAATCAATTTATCTTTCTGACAATGTGCTTTTTATATCATTTATATGTATAAAATGATTGCTAGATACGATTTCATGCAACAAAACGTTGAAATCTTAATTTTTAGATCCTAGCAGAACACACCTGCGCGCTTCGCGCTTAAAGTATGCAAAAGGGAAAACGTGTGGTTTCGGTGTACTCGACAATGTGATTAATGTGTTTCATTCGATGTATAGATCTAAAGTCATAGGAGGAGTAGTAAAATGTTTATTTAGATCATTTACTTTAACGTCTTTGTATTTTAAAATCAAAGACCTGCAGACACCAACAGAATGAAGAAATTTACACATCTCAGTAAAATTTATATTATGGAAACGATTTAAGTTATTTCAAATTCTTCGCTTAGTTTTGTCCCTCTGACCCATTAGTTAGTAGGCGCGTAATCCGATGGTATTGAGGTGAGGTAAACGCCACCGGAGGGCGTGTGTCGCTTCCCATATTTCGGCCGCGTGGGCTAGCAACAGTGTATTGAACGCCGCGGCATTGTCGACTAATGTTGTTTGCGACCGTTAGTGGGTCGGGCGCGGCTGGTGTCCATAATTGTACGCGTCGTTTGAATTTGCTATTGAATATTTAGGTCCGGTTGGGACCGCCTCGAATTGAGTGTCTGTTTTGAGTGTTACGTGACAAGAGGCCTAATTTGATTTTTGAGTGATTAAATCAACTGATTGCCAATAACTGTTGCGAGACGGACGTATTGTTTGCGACCAGGCTTGTATTGAGTTTGAATTATTAACTTAACTTTGATTGACATTAATTTGATTCGACGAGTTGCTTCGTAGCATTTTGATATCGTGCGAGGGAATTTTGCCTTGTTGTGTGGAACGCTGAACTTTGAGACTCGAGAAGAGGCCGCGTTCGTTCCCGTGTTTGTAATTTTGTGCTAAGTGAACCCGGAACATTGAATATTGAACTTTGAAGTTAATTAAATGTACAATAAAGTTGATAAACTAATACAGTTAAGTGAAAGCAGAAGTTTTCAATTGGTGAACGCCTCCCTGGAGGGATCTCACATTTGGAGAGAAGCAGCGCCTGGGGATCTGCGGTCCAACTTCATCGGGGATATCAGGTTACACTTGTACACACTTATACACACTACTACACACTACTTACATGCACATCACTCACCACCTGACTGGTAACCTGTGGTCAACCCTACCTCCGGAAATCAGTAAGTCGTGCTTGCTTATTTGCAATTAAATTAGAATTATCCATAGGCCATTGGGCCCGAACCCTCGGCTGCTCGTCGAGGAGGCTACTATGGGCCCTAGCCAAGGCGACCTTTGCCGGGGCAGCTGGGGGCCGTAACAATTTCTGGTAGCAGAGCGTGGTTGATTGTTTCTACAATCACGTCCGGCCGTAATACGTAATAAAAATATTTTTTTTGTTTGCTTGCTTTGTTTGTTAGCGGATGGGTGGGAAGAATTAGGAACCACGCCCGATAGATAGCGCAAGCGGGAGTGTAGTAAAGGGTTAGGTACCACGCGTCGGGTAGGTGGATAATTACCGTTATCACATAATCTTATAATTATCGTTATCGTATAATTATAGTAGATTAATTGCCGAAGGGTCGGTCGCCAGAGCAAGGCATCTTTGCTGACCGACTGTAGTGTGTACTTGTATTTGTAGTGTAATTTGTATTTAATTTAATAAATAGTAATTTGTATTTGTAGTAATTTGTATTGAATTTAATTTGATAGTAATTTGTATATAGTAGTGATGCCATCGCACAAGCTATCGGCGCTTCGCCTGCAGGCTGAGCTGCGCTGGACCGCTAATGCCCATATTTTGATAGGGCAATCCGATCGGGTCCATAATTAAGGGAAGCGGCTCGAGCAGGTCGATGCCCGAAGGGCTGTAGTGGAGGAGGCTTGCACAGAGCTTTTGGCCTCGGATGCGGAACAGGGAGTTCTAGACTCCTGCCTCGCGGACTACGAGAAATTCTTTTCGCTCACGGACGACTTGATCCAGGCGGGGGCCAAGTATGCTAATGAAGCGCGTGAAGCTCGGCTGAGTGGCCTGGCCGAGTCCTCTCGGAAGCAGCCTACTCAGCCGGAGTTGTTGGGACGACTCCCAACTCTGGACCTGCCAAGGTTCTCCGGAGTCCTCTCCGACTGGATGACTTTTGTAGGCCTTTTTGATAGTCTAGTGGACACCCGGAGGGACTTGACACCAAGCCAGAAGATGGCGTACCTCCTAGCCTCACTGGAGGGGGAGGCCCTGGGCGTCTTCGGCCATTTGAGATTGTCGGACGACGCCTACGAGACTGCTCGGGACCTCCTCGCCGGAAGATACGCCAACGTCCGGCAAATCGCGGACGTATACGTTAGGCAGTTTCTAAGCCTCCCGCTGCTTAGGGACCGGGCCAGACTACGCCCGGACATCGTGAATCCAGTCTTGGTGGCCTGTAATGCGTTGAGGCGGCTGGGTTTACCCGTGGATGAATGGTCCTTCTTGTTGCTCCACATCGTGCTGTCCCGCCTGCCTCTCAACCTTCGGATACATTTTGTGGAGAGGTACGGCGGGGACGGCGCCTCCTATATTCCGCCCTTCAGTGATCTGCTGCGGTTCTTGGAGGAGCAGTGCCTACAAATTGAGAACGCAGCGGGCACCGTCGACGACTTACGGGTTGACAACCGAGCCGTGCCCAGTGAGAGGCGGAATCCGCCGGGCAAGTCGCCGCCAACCCCCCTAAGGCCGATCGGAGCTCCCGCGGGAGGGTACCGCTCCCTAACATCTTACAGTGGCCTAGCGGCCAGGGAGGCACCCCCCTGCTCCTATTGTCGCGCATCCGATCACAGGGTGACGTCGTGCCCGAAGTTATTGGGTAAGCCGGTTCCGGCGAGGCGAACTATCGCCAAGGTGCGCCGCTGGTGCTATTCGTGTTTGGAAAGGCACCTCCAGCGAGACTGCCCGCACCAGCGGCCCTGTCCGCACTGCCAGGGCAATCACCATGCAGTTTTGTGCCTGGGTGCGAACGGCGTCTTCTCTCGGGGCTTTGCCAGGCCCTCGACCCCCACGGGCGGGGGCGCTCAGCCACGCCCTCTGTCGGGTGACGCTCGCCTGCCAGCCATCGTGTCCCTGGGTTTGAAAGGGGTCCCTCCCCCGACCCGTCGGGGGGTCGTTCCCCCAGGGGCGGGGGCGTCACCGCCCCCCCTCAGCGTGTTGAGAGGAACTTCACGGCCACTCAGCAGTCAGTTAGACCCTTCTCATCCCCGTTAGCTGAGTGGCCGCGACTGGGGTGCCACCGTCCCCCCTTTGATGGAGGCAGCCCCAGCTAAGGTAGCTGCCGACCTAGCTCCCAACACGGCCGCCTCCACTGATCCTTTGAGCCGTCAACAGTCAACTTGTCAAACTGTTCTATTGCCGACGGCCTCAGTGAAGGTGTACAACCCGAGTGGCGATTGTTTAATGGTTCGCACTCTATTGGATTCGGGTTCATAACGCTGTGTGGCCTCCACTAGGTTGGTGGGACGACTAGGGCTCGCCTGGAGCTCTGAATGCTTGAGAAAAAAAATGCTTGGTTTTTCCAATGTTTCGTAGTAGTAGCGGTTGTGAGTAAAAATTTAATTTAATATACTCTTTGAATACGTGTACATATGTTTTTGTAAATATATTTGATCATTATGTTTGCTTTGTTGAAAAGAAAATTGAAATTGAGTAACACTATTTGTGCCGAAGGAAATAAAAATCAATCCTCTTTTTGTTTTCACATTTCGTTGGCGTTGTCGAAGATATTTATTTTGGAAAAAAAGAATATCTTTTATGGCTATCTTTTAAGGCTATCTTTTATGTTTATCGTTTTGCTTAATTTATCTGTTTTGATCTACGCGCATGGGGAAATAAGTTTGTTACCGTTTGTTTTCAAGTTTTGCATAGTAGTTTTGAGTATTGATGCTTTGAGCCTTGGATGAAGCATAAGCATAGGACTTCATGTTTGGAAAAGCTAGCTAGTTATGATATTATCAGATTGAAATCTATAGCACTGAAGCCTTTGTGGCCACGCTGGGCCGCTTCGTATCGCGTCACGGTTTGCGGACCTGATCCGGTCTGATTGCGGAACGAATCATAAGGGGCACGGATAGATATTTGAAAGAGGACGTCGAATTTCTATCCAGCAACAGGACTTATTTAGGTGCTGCGATGTCCAGGAAGGGCATCCAGTGGAGGTTCGACCCTTCGGCTTGCCCACATTGGGGCGGTATTTTTGAGGCGGTGGTTAAGGTTGCAAGATCTGATGGGGTGCCTAATGGCCGAGGTTTGGTTGGAGATTCGGTCTTGCAACGCGCCGTCGCGACCCTATCCCGTTTGCCATTTTACTCGCGGACATAGGTCCTTATGTCCGGGACGAGGGTTTGTTTATGCCTTGCATCAAGATGCGCGCGCGGCGCGTAATCCGACGGTATTGAGGTGAGGTAAACGCTGCCGAGGGGGGGGGGGTCTGCCGCTTCCCGTCTTTCGGCCGCGTGGGCTAGCAACAGTGTATTGAACGCCGCGGCATTGTCGACTAGTGTTGTTTGCGACCGTTAGTGGGTTGGGCGCAGCTGGTGTCCATAATTGTACACGTCGTTTGAATTTGCTATTGAATATTTAGGTCCGGTTGGGACCGCCTCGAATTGAGTGTCTGTTTTGAGTGTTACGTGACAAGAGGCCTAATTTGAGTTTTGAGTGATTAAATTAACTGATTGCCAATAATTGATGCGCGACGGACGTATTGTTTGCGACCATGCTTGTATTGAGTTTGAATTATTAACTTAACTTTCATTGACATTAATTTGATTCGACGAGTTGCTTCGTGGCATTTTGATATCATGCGAGGGAATTTTGCCTTGTTGTGTGGAACGCTGAACTTTGAGACTCGAGAAGAGGCCGCGTTCGTTCACGTCTTTGTAATTTTGTGCTAAGTGAACCCGGAACATTGAATATTGAACTTTGAACGACTGTTCGTTACTTGTGTCGTGTGTCACTTGTTTTAATTTCGATGAACGTTGAGTTGGTTGACTTTGAAGTTAATTAAATGTACAATAAAGTTGATAAACTAATACAGTGAAGTGAAAGCAGAAGTTTTCAATTGGTGAACGCCTCCCTGGAGGGATCTCACATTTGGAGAGAAGCAGCGCCTGGGGATCTGCGGTCCAACTTCATCGGGGATATCAGGTTACACTTGTACACCCTACTACACACTACTTACATGCACATCACTTACCACCTGACTGGTACCCTGTGGTCAACCCTACCTCCGGAAATCAGTAAGTCGTGCTTGCTTATTTGCAATTAATTTAGAATTATCCATAGGCCATTGGACCCGAACCCTCGGCTGCTCGTCGAGGAGGCTACTATGGGCCCTAGCCAAGGCGACCTTTGCAGGGGCAGCTGGGGCCGTAACAGTTCCCTTATACCACGTGTAATCTATGGTGCAAGGTTACGTTTTATCTGCGGGGCATTTTTATTGTATATCTTCAAAATTATGTGATTTAAGTTACAAACTTAATCATTAATATTAGTATTGTCAACAATAGATGTCCAATCAATATTACTTACATCACGCCCCAATGCCTCTAGATCTATACCCTTATAATTACGGAGGAACAATTTCTGTTTAAGCTAACGAAGACGAAAAGAGGAAGATTAAATCATGATATGAGAGGAAGATTAAATCATGATATGAAAAAGAATTATTTATTTGCATTGAATATATTATTTTACATGAAACCTAACTCTATTAAGAGATATTTGTACTATGTACTTTTTATGTAAACCATTATCGTCGTCTTTGTTCTTAGTGCTACTTTCATTGTACTTTGTTGTGATCAGCATTCTCAACTCTCATACTATAACATGCATAAAATACTAAATATTTCGAAAGTCATATAGTGTTATTTTGAGTTGAAATAATTGAAATTTTATCATTCAGCAATTTCAAACCTCTAATATAGTATTATCTCAAAAAAAAAATACTGTAATAACGTATCAATTATAATATAAAAAAATACAAACACTTTTGTTGTTGTCTTTAGTTGACAACCTAGCAAGGGATACCGATTTATGTATATTAAAATGCGACGGTAATACTTGTTCATTCAATAACTGATAGTATAACATTCAATACATATTTTTGGCGTAATATTTTGGCTTACTAGTCGGTAGGGGAAAAAATCTTCTTTCTGAATTAGTTATTGACTAAAATATGCAAAATTTTGAGTTGATACAGTGTTACTTCTTAGGCGCGATATGTAGATAGCGCGATAGAAGGGAATTATCGTAAATATTTTGATTTGGGAAAACAAAAAACTCCATGGCATTTCATTCCCATAACGGGAGAGGGCTATTTCTAGCAATGTAATTTTACGGGCTGATTAAAAACATAGATAATAAAAAAATACAAAAAGAGATTCCATATGTGATGTGATGTGATACGATGTGATACAATGTAATGTGATGCGAGGTGTGGTGGCGTTTGGTGTCGGTGGCGATGGCGGTGGTTACCGGGCGGCGCAGCAGCGGCACGAGGTGCGCGGCGAGCGCGGGCAGCGCGGCGCAGGCGCGGCGGCAGTCGGGGAAGGCGGCGGCCACGGCGAAGCAGCGCGCGCTGGCCGCGCACACCGCGCCCGCCACGCGCCCGCTGCCGCCCAGCACCGCCGCGCACCGCGCCAGCGCGCTGTGCAGCACCTGCACCGCAACGTACACCGCATATAATACACACACAATACAAATATACATAACGTGGATATTACACAGTTTATACTTTTAAAAGGAATTGCATTCAATTTTCAGATAATAAACCATCATTTTTAGGTTACCGTACCCAACGGAACTAACGGAACCTTATTACTAAGCCTTTATTGTCCGTCCGTCCGTCTGTCTACCAGCGTATCTCATGATCCGTAATAGGTAGACAGTTGAATATTTCTGTTGCAGTTATAACAACAAAGAATAAAAATTAAACTAAATTAAAAATTAAAAGGGGCTCCCCTACTAGAAACGATGGTACGGAATTCTACATGCGCGAGTCCCACTCGCACTTGGCCGGTTATTTTAGTTACCAACAGATTTGTATTAAATATCTACCAACAGTGTAGTAAAGGTATAAGTTCATCCTTCTTGGTCCGCTGCTATCTATAAACCTTTAAAAAAATTGCGGCAGCTAACTATAACCAACCAATCAACGAACGCGCGGCGCAGCCCATCCGTGTTGATCTAGGAGTAGCGCACAATGCGTATGCATGCTTGTGTATGTACATGTGTGTGTGTACGCGTGCATGTTAGCACAACTCCAGGCCGCCCTCGCGGCGCAGCTCCTCCGCGTTGAGCGCGGAACAGCGCACAGTACGTGTGCGTGCGTGTGTGCATGTGTATGTACGAGTGTATGTACCCGCGCGTGTGTGAGCACACCTCCAGGTCGCCCTCGCGGCGCAGCTCCTCCGCGTTGAGCGCGGAAGAGCGCACAGTACGTGTGCGTGCGAGTGTGCATGTGTATGTACGAGTGTATGTACGCGCGCGTGTGTGAGCACACCTCCAGGTCGCCCTCGCGGCGCAGCTCCTCCGCGTTGAGCGCGGAAGAGCGCACAGTACGTGTGCGTGCGAGTGTGCATGTGTATGTACGAGTGTATGTACGCGCGCGTGTGTGAGCACACCTCCAGGCCGCCCTCGCGACGCAGCTCCTCCGCGTTGAGCGCGGAAGAGCGCACAGTACGTGTGCGTGCGAGTGTGCATGTGTATGTACGAGTGTATGTACTCGCGCGTGTGTGAGCACACCTCCAGGTCGCCCTCGCGGCGCAGCTCCTCCGCGTTGAGCGCGGAAGAGCGCACAGTACGTGTGCGTGCGAGTGTGCATGTGTATGTACGAGTGTATGTACGCGCGCGTGTGTGAGCACACCTCCAGGTCGCCCTCGCGGCGCAGCTCCTCCGCGTTGAGCGCGGAAGAGCGCACAGTACGTGTGCGTGCGAGTGTGCATGTGTATGTACGAGTGTATGTACGCGCGCGTGTGTGAGCACACCTCCAGGCCGCCCTCGCGACGCAGCTCCTCCGCGTTGAGCGCGGAAGAGCGCACAGTACGTGTGCGTGCGAGTGTGCATGTGTATGTACGAGTGTATGTACTCGCGCGTGTGTGAGCACACCTCCAGGTCGCCCTCGCGGCGCAGCTCCTCCGCGTTGAGCGCGGAAGAGCGCACAGTACGTGTGCGTGCGAGTGTGCATGTGTATGTACGAGTGTATGTACGCGCGCGTGTGTGAGCACACCTCCAGGTCGCCCTCGCGGCGCAGCTCCTCCGCGTTGAGCGCGGAAGAGCGCACAGTACGTGTGCGTGCGAGTGTGCATGTGTATGTACGAGTGTATGTACGCGCGCGTGTGTGAGCACACCTCCAGGCCGCCCTCGCGACGCAGCTCCTCCGCGTTGAGCGCGGAAGAGCGCACAGTACGTGTGCGTGCGAGTGTGCATGTGTATGTACGAGTGTATGTACTCGCGCGTGTGTGAGCACACCTCCAGGTCGCCCTCGCGGCGCAGCTCCTCCGCGTTGAGCGCGGAAGAGCGCACAGTACGTGTGCGTGCGAGTGTGCATGTGTATGTACGAGTGTATGTACGCGCGCGTGTGTGAGCACACCTCCAGGTCGCCCTCGCGGCGCAGCTCCTCCGCGTTGAGCGCGGAAGAGCGCACAGTACGTGTGCGTGCGAGTGTGCATGTGTATGTACGAGTGTATGTACGCGCGCGTGTGTGAGCACACCTCCAGGTCGCCCTCGCGGCGCAGCTCCTCCGCGTTGAGCGCGGAAGAGCGCACAGTACGTGTGCGTGCGAGTGTGCATGTGTATGTACGAGTGTATGTACGCGCGCGTGTGTGAGCACACCTCCAGGTCGCCCTCGCGGCGCAGCTCCTCCGCGTTGAGCGCGGAAGAGCGCACAGTACGTGTGCGTGCGAGTGTGCATGTGTATGTACGAGTGTATGTACGCGCGCGTGTGTGAGCACACCTCCAGGTCGCCCTCGCGGCGCAGCTCCTCCGCGTTGAGCGCGGAAGAGCGCACAGTACGTGTGCGTGCGAGTGTGCATGTGTATGTACGAGTGTATGTACGCGCGCGTGTGTGAGCACACCTCCAGGTCGCCCTCGCGGCGCAGCTCCTCCGCGTTGAGCGCGGAAGAGCGCACAGTACGTGTGCGTGCGAGTGTGCATGTGTATGTACGAGTGTATGTACGCGCGCGTGTGTGAGCACACCTCCAGGTCGCCCTCGCGGCGCAGCTCCTCCGCGTTGAGCGCGGAAGAGCGCACAGTACATGTGCGTGCGAGTGTGCATGTGTATGTACGAGTGTATGTACGCGCGCGTGTGTGAGCACACCTCCAGGTCGCCCTCGCGGCGCAGCTCCTCCGCGTTGAGCGCGGAAGAGCGCACAGTACGTGTGCGTGCGAGTGTGCATGTGTATGTACGAGTGTATGTACGCGCGCGTGTGTGAGCACACCTCCAGGCCGCCCTCGCGACGCAGCTCCTCCGCGTTGAGCGCGGAAGAGCGCACAGTACGTGTGCGTGCGAGTGTGCATGTGTATGTACGAGTGTATGTACGCGCGCGTGTGTGAGCACACCTCCAGGTCGCCCTCGCGGCGCAGCTCCTCCGCGTTGAGCGCGGAAGAGCGCACAGTACGTGTGCGTGCGAGTGTGCATGTGTATGTACGAGTGTATGTACGCGCGCGTGTGTGAGCACACCTCCAGGTCGCCCTCGCGGCGCAGCTCCTCCGCGTTGAGCGCGGAAGAGCGCACAGTACGTGTGCGTGCGAGTGTGCATGTGTATGTACGAGTGTATGTACGCGCGCGTGTGTGAGCACACCTCCAGGCCGCCCTCGCGACGCAGCTCCTCCGCGTTGAGCGCGGAAGAGCGCACAGTACGTGTGCGTGCGAGTGTGCATGTGTATGTACGAGTGTATGTACGCGCGCGTGTGTGAGCACACCTCCAGGCCGCCCTCGCGACGCAGCTCCTCCGCGTTGAGTGCGGAGCAGCGCACGGTAGCGAGCGCCAGCTGGCAGGCGGCGGGCAGCAACGCGGCGTCGCTCTCGCTGAACAGCTGCTCCGACTCCACCTCCAACCGCGCCGTGCTCAGAAGCTGCGGGTAGCCCGCATATTTGTACGGCTCCAGCACTGTGTCAAAGTAGATATAATATAGGTAACAGTGAGATAGCCGCCCTTATAACTCTGCTGCGGAAAGAGGATGAGTTTGTTGCAGCGAGACCTTCCCTTATTCATTACGGCCTATCAAAATCCATTGTTGCCCCCCCTAAGGCTGAGGCCTCCTCTCATATAGCCAGATATATGCCATTGCTGCCACGCATGTCAGGCAGGATGGCAATCGCAATTTTTATTATTTTGAGTTGTTAACAGAAATATGCTGTTGCCAATCCCGTATTACTTTTCCTTCTGTCACCGCTTACAACACCAATAGGGTTATATGGCTGCCCCATATAATTCCATAAATTATTATACGCCGCCACTATAAGTCAAATATGGGGCACAGCTACGGTTCTTACGGCGCCACGATTTGAATTTGATCTCGACGAGAACCGCCGAAAAGTAAGAATAAAATGTTTCGATATCTCGCTTAGTGTCCGAGATATCGTTACTACTGCAACGGCTTCGGCATTGCGGGAAAAGCAGCCCCTTCACCCTTGCGTAGTAAATCGCAGTCACCCATGCTCATCTGCTCTCCCTCCGCGCCTATGGCTTTACAAAAACAGACTAGTTTTGGTATTCGATTTTTGAGTATCAATATCTCGGAAACTAAGTGAGATATCGAAAAATTTTATTCTTACTTTTCGGCGTATCTATTTCCTTGAAATCGTGGCACCGTAGGAACCGTAGAAGGCCCAAATATGGGAATTTATATTTTGATCTGACGGTTTTGACGTATATGAGTATAGTGTGACCGTCGTTTGGTCTTTCATTTTACAAAAACACGAAAATATAATATAAAAGTAACAAAAACAATCACAATTTACTAACCATCAGAATACCTTTCGAATAATATGGTCTGCGTCCGCAGGATAAGAAGGATATTGTTTGTATTGGGTCCATCACCGGTCCATGCATTCCTGCTGCATAGAAACTCATACGCCTGGTTGACCGCTTCGAAACGATCCTGAAATAATGATAAAAGTAGAAATAAAAAAAAACTGATATGATAGCTATTAACGCCCGTGTGGGGCTAAATTTAACAGTTCCACTCTCGAGACACTACCTGATGAATCAATATGGGTAGGCTAAATAGTGTTTCTGAATTTTCGTGATCACTTATGATCGGGGAACATCCCCAGTTACGATAAAATATTGACTAAGACTCACCCGTCCTTCGGGGTTCTTATCAGGGTGGTACTGATGAGCGAGGCGGTAATATGCTTTACGCACGGCCGCCTCGTCGTGAGAGCCAGCATCCAAACCCAGGACAGCGTAGGCATCGCTCACTGTCATGGATGGCGCCTTCTTTTCCACTTCACGTCGCCACGCCTCTAACACATCTTTCAGGAGACCAACCTGTAATTACGATAATATATTAAGAATAATTTAATACGTACAGCACATAAATTTACTTAAATATACTAAAATAATATAATTATCTAACAAAAATAGTTTGCGTGCTAATTTTTCATATAAAATTCAATCATACCAAAATCTCCCTCATCCGTGCGCACAATACGCTAAAAACGGGGTACAAAATGTTCCCTTGAAGTAATAATATATAGATATGTATAATGTATATATTGGTGTGTGTGTGTGTGTGTATGTGTGGCGCACTGACCGGGTCGGGCACGGGCCAGTCGGGGAAGCGCGCGGTGTCGCACAGGTGGCGCAGGTAGAACATGTTGCAGAAGAGCTCGCGCTGCAGCTGCGGGTAGCGCACGGCCGGGATGGCCAGGTACGGGTAGCGCGCCGCCACGTGCGCGCGCAGCCGCGGCGTGAACTCGCCGATGTGCGCCGACACCTTCATTATCAGCATGCGCCTGCGGAACCGACCCCACCACTCATTCCGCTTCATCGCTTCTCCTCGATACTCCACCCGTGGACCTAGCCACCTCTTATTGCAAGGAGAAATCGACTTAATCGCTACGTATGGTAGGTAGTAAAATAAAAAAGAAAAGAAAATAAGGCAAATAAATGTCCGCCTCGCGGCGCTTATGCGTGTTAGCGGCCTTCACATGTCTTTGAGATGTTTTTTCAAAATTTCACAGACATACAGATTATATTATCATCATGAAAATTTAAGGGTTCAAATAAAACTTATTGAATTTTGGGAAGCAGTTCGCAAACGTGCTGCCGAAATAGTCTTCTTAGGCTTCTAGGCTTAGGACTAACTTGCTTACGCTTAATGACCAAAAAACTAACTACGTGTGCTATACCATCAATAACCGGACCCAACCACAAAATGACTTTAATATAAAAATTCAAAAATGTAAAAACGTTAGTGATTACGATTGATACTGATTGCACTTGTCCAACCATAAACAAAGTATCGGCTATTAAGTATTTAGGTATAATCATAGACCAACGATTGGCGTGGCACAACCAAATATAACATCTTATAGACAGAGTCAGAAAGCTAATTTAGATTTTTAAGCAACTTAGACATGTAGCATCAAAAATATACTAATTAAAGTATACAACATTGCGTTGGTACAATCTTTACTGGCATACTGCATTCCTATATGCGGTGGCGCCTCCAAAACCCAATTTCTGGAAGTGGAAAGGGCTCAAAGAGCATTTTGTACAGAAAAGCTATATAAAATATGTGAGCTACTTACTGTAAAAAAACTATATATTTTACAAACCGTTCTAAAAATGCATAGTAGTCTGACTTATGATTCGAACATTTTGCAAAAAAGAAGAGTTACAGTAACTGTAACACAGAAAGTAAACACAAAATTTGCTTCTCATCAATATAAAAAAACAGTCAGTTTTTATATACAATATAATAAACAAAATTCTCAATATATATAAAATTAATAGATGTAATTGTAAACAGATGTTGATAAAATGGTTAAAAAAATTAAACAATTTGATTGACTGATGAAGAGCTATCGTATTACAGAGCCATTTCTTAAAACAAGGCTGTAGTTTTTATAAGAAAGTGACCATATTAACCGAATGAACATATTAGCCTCACGTACTATAGTTAATTTGCGTGGTACCCAGATGTTAACTTGCTCTAAAAAAGAAGGGCAGTCTATGAGATCACTAACAATTTTTAACAGACACAATGTCTGATATTTGGAGTCTTCTGTGTAGGGAAAAAAGTGATATCTTCGACACTTCGCACGTATCCATGATCTACTCGCTTACATTTAAACTTAAAATATTTTAGAAACCTTTTTGTATGGATTCAATGGGAAAAATATACACATTATATTGCGGATTCCAGACTACAGAGTATACTCATGGATACTACGCACATAAACATAGAAAAGAACTTAAATGAGTTTAATAGATTTGAAGTCGTTAGTTTATCTTATGATTAAACCGACAGATTTGGAGACCTTTCTGACTGCATAATCGACGTGTTATCAAACAAAAGCTTATTATCTTGGATTACTCTCTCATAACCGTGACTTTAATAAGGGACTTATTATACAACGTGTAACAAAGTCTGTGGTTCCTTTTAAGTCCGTTATCAGAGTCAGTATTCAAACATAAAGAAATAACTTTTTTCAATAAACTTGAACATTAAAAATTTTTATTTTAATTAAATAAAATTAATTTGCAAATTGTATATGGTTTTCTTACCTATACCTGATACGAGCGTCGGTGAAGGGGACTCTTTCACAATCCTTTTACTCACCGGATAATGCAGATGTAATAAAACCACATATAATTGGCAAACTATTATTTTTTTAATTAAAATATTTTTTTAATGTTCAATTTTTTTTCAAAAAAAATATTTCTTTACGTTTGAATACTGACTCTGATAACGCACTGAACGGGAACCACAGGGTTTTTGTTACATGTTGTATATTGATAATGCACTGATAATAATTTATAGGGTTGGGTTTCCGTGAAAACGTCATTGCTAAACATTTAGAAACATTTAAATCAACCTTATTCCGAATAAAATATTGTATAAAATTATTCAAATCGCATTGTAAACGTTCCTAATCTACAGAGCTATTATCGCCCATAAAAATTTTAGTGTAGTCTGCATACAGTCATAGAGTGTAGTAACAAATAGCAGCGGCCCTAACAAAGAGCCTTGAGGCACACTAGAAGGAATTGACGTCCACGCGGACGTAAACCCCTTTAATGTAACCGCCTGCGATCTTCTACTAATATACGACGAAAACCATCTGTATAGGTTACCGTGTCTACCAGCTTTATAAAGCTTCTAGAGGAGCAACGGGTGGTCTATACGATCAAAAGCTTTACTAAAATCGGTAAATATAATATCAACTTGTCCATTTTTAAGGTGTGATCATCAAAAACTAATAGATTGGACACAGGCGACCTTTTTCTTCAAAATCCATGTTGTTCCGGAGTAAAAAAACGATTGTAATGCGGCATATACGTGACGGAAAAAAATCTTTCAAATATATTAGCAAAGATGTTTAATTTAGACCTATAATTTTTATATTAGATCGGTCACCGCTTTTATGTCCTGGCGTTACATACGCAGATTTCCATGTGGCTGGTCGATACCACTTAAAGATCGCTGAAAAATAATAAATAGAGGCGAAACTAAATTGTGTACACATTGTCACACACGGTCCGGCGCCTTTGTTTAGGTTTGTGGTTTTATTTAAGGAATGTTGCTCCTTGGGGTTTATATCTATATCACTTGTACTATAAGTATTTTGGTATTGACTCTCAAGGTTCAGCTGACAGGTTTTAGCGTTAGAAATAAGGAAAGTGGATTAAAAATATTCAGTAAATAAAACAAATAGATTCACCAGTATCCCCAGATTTATCCGCATATTTCAGCACAGATAGTAACGTATGTGAGGATCTGTTTAATGTCTTTGTGTAAGACCAAATCAAGCGAGGATTATTGACAATTGAGTATCTAACCTGACTTATGTATAATTAATAGCATTTATTTTGCAACTCCATGAACCGTTCCCTGAGCAATGCATAAGTTTCCTTATCGTACATACTCGTTACCACATTTTTTATATTTCGTTAAAAATTTGAATTTTTCTTAAATTTAAATGACATGATAGATACTAGAACACAAATGATTGCATCACATATTATTCGGCTTGATCGGGAAAAGACAACGCTATCACAGAATACCAGCGTAAAATAGTTGTTTAATACTTCTGTGCTTTGTATGACAAGTGTAGAGAACCGGAGAACCTTTTTACTGGAAACGAGGCATTTCATCCTAGTTATCAGACGTGACAACGCAGAATAGATAAAACCTGCTTGGATTGACAAGGCAAAAAGAAACTACCAATTTGTAAATTTTAAAGCCCCTTATTTATGTATAAGTAGTCATGCCCCAGTCGTAACCTATTTGAACACAAAAAAACCACATTACATACCTCATTTCGTTGTTCCAGATAGCCTCAGGCGTATCCCACTCGCCGAGGAATATTTGTGCAAACTTTTCAGCGCCATGATTTTCCAAGTAGCATACCATTGCTTCCGGTAGCAATTGTCCTAATATCGACCGCTGCATTATGTCCGAACTAGACTATAAGTAAAACGTTGTTATAACAATACTTTGCAAAGGTAAATATTAAGAAGTCTTAAGGGTTTTTCATAATAGTTAAATACAAGTTTATGATAAAATAAAAATTTGAAATATAAGATAAAATTACAGCAAATTTGCATATTACCCTAACGGAACGCCAACAAACTTCGTGTAAAATATGAAAATTGGTATTAAAATTTTCTAAACTTACTTGATCAGCTCTAAACGCCTGTTTCATGTGTGTGAGTCGTAGGAACCTCGCAATCGGTAAAAGATTAGAGCCCGTATACAATAACATAAAGTAAAATACGCCCGTTAAATATAATTTTGATATTTCTGGATTGTCTTGCATGACTTCGTACAACAATGTTGCCACCTAAAATACGAATATAATAATAATCATTTTATTTTAAATAAACTGCACAATTAATTCAAACAATGCTTTAATTTAAAATAGTATAATATATAATTAATATAAGATCAAGAAACACTACAAAGCCTATAGGTTATATTTAAAAACATTGTGGTTCTTTTATAAACATTTTAACTGTTATCTAAGTTACTAAGAATACAATAATTTATTTAATATGTATAAAATATAAAATTACCTTTTCAACAAGAATAGGATCAAATGTTAACAATAGTTGTACAACGTGGGCTAAACAAGATGGTTCGGATAATATTCGTTTTACTCGTGGTAGTGGCCTTATCACTGCATCTTCTTCATCTCTGAAAAGAAGAAAATGCTGAATAAAATAATATTATAAATATGTGTGTACAGTGCAGTAGAAGTTACGGGTTTCTGCACTCGTGGGTTACATTTTATTTTTATTAAAATACGCATGTGATAAATTTCTTGCCTTTTAACCTCTTTTTTAACAAATTAGATAAATATACTTACTTCAATAGATCACTTATATAAAAAAATAGATATTTTTCTCATAATTTAGTTTGAATCTACAAATAATTGATCCAGGTCTGGTTGTATGTCGATGTGCAATTTATGTAAGTAAATATAAGAATAAATAAGAATGGCATATCTCAATGTTGAATCAAGCGACTATCACGTGACTTCATTTATAGTTTTCTTTTAGCGTTAACGATTATAGAAAGTATTACAAGTCAGGGTAGAAAACTAATTAGCGTTAAAACTCCACCACTTGTTCAAGCAGTATAAAGTACTGCGCAGACAACGAGCTTTGGTCGTTCCACGGGTCTTACTCGTTAATTCAATAATTTGGGTCAACATGCACAGTATCAATAGCTAAAACCCGGTTATAACGGTATATCGTTATAACTTTATTTTATTCAATTAATTGAAAATATTTTAAAAGAATTGTATACACAAGTAGGTGCATTAGTTTTAAAATAACACTAGCTGTGCCCCGCGGTTTCACCCGCGTATATCACGCGTCTGCGCCTAGCGACATGCTAACTTCGAGAGAGACATCACGACAGACGGTTGCTGAATTAACAAAGATTTAAAAAGTGAAATATGTTACTAAAATTACATGGTTAACGTAATTGGTGGTTATGAATGATACAGGTATTGATACGAATAATGTGGCCTAGTTTTTTCCAGCGTTACTATTTCACATTTTAACATGAAAAAGTAGTTATTGTGACATAACTGTAACAGTTAAACATATGGTATCGCAGATTTTTTTGTAGATATTGATGTCCTCTATAAAACTGAAGTACATTACTTTGCTCTATTATCAATAGTTTCCGCAGCGTACGCGATATAAGGATTCTTTTTGGTATTTTTTTCACACCTTGGGTTACATTAACGAAGTTTTCATAAGGATCCCTAACTTTTTTGTAAATATTATATAGCCTATGTTCATCAGGGATAGTGTAGGATTCTAATGGTGAAGGAATTTTTCAAATCGGTCCAGTAGTTAGCCTATTCAATTCAAACAAACAAACAAACAAATCTTTCCTCTTTATAATAGCAGTGTAGAATAATAACTAGCGACCCGCTCTGGAATCGCCTGGGTGGGATCTAATTGAGGACGTAAGATAATCATTATAAACCATTTATTTTATCTTGTCAATATTTCTGTTTTAACAGGTCTGTCTCACTCCGCGCTTTAGGCATGAAAATATACCTATGCTGCGCGGCCGTCTACATGAGGCTAATTCCGATAGGTTGTCACGCGCCCGCTCGAGCTGACGCGCCCACTCGAGCTGATGCGCGCCTTACGTTAACATAAAAATTATTTTTCTCTAATATGTATTTAGGCACTTCTGATATTTATTTTTGAGTTTTTATTCAAGTATGGCCTATCAAAACGCCAAAATATACTGCATAACTTACGGGTGCTTAAATAACAATCGGAATGTCGACTTTTCATTCTTTACTGTTCCTAAGGCTACCGAAAGCTAATATATTATTATTTATAGGTAGATCTAAATAATTAGGTACTTAGTTACTGACGCCATAGTTACAGATGTATTATTTGATTAGTGACCCGACCACAGCTTTGCAGTTTTCGAGTTTTTCGCGTATATATATGACGATATGATATATATCTCGATATGATGATACCAATGACCTTAAAAAAACGAAATAGGCCTGCCATTATGAGTGATCTGTGTCTGTGTGACTGCCTACTAATGCAAGATCAGCATATACTGGTTTACGTTTAATAATTGGTCGATAAAAGAAAGAGATTGATAGTAGTAGCACTTTTCATTGCTACTCTTTCATTAATAATTAAGTCGCGTGTCGCATGTTTGTAAATAGCAAAAAATGTAACTCAGACAAGTGGCGGCTCCGTGGCGCAGTGGCTTAGTAATGAGTTGCAGCGCTAAGGGCCGCGGGTTCGAATATCGGACGGAACAAGTATTTGTATGGCCTACAAACAATTATTCTGGGTCTTTTCTATGTATGTATTTGAAATAAAAACAGAATCATCAAAATCGATTGATCAAAAAAAAGTTCTGAGGTAACACACAAAAAAAACAGTCGAATTGAGGACCTCCTTCTTTTTTTGAAGTCGGTTAAAAATGGTAAGTAAGTAAATTATCTGAGTTTCAAAGACGTTCACGTCGTTATAATCTTAATTTTCCTCGCTGTTGTATATGAACCTTCCTCACATTGAACAATAAAGTTTTTATTATCAGCAAATTGATGGGTCCGTGGCGCAGTGGCTTAGCAATGAGTTACAACGCTGAAGCCGCGAGTTCGAATCCCGCACGGTACAAGTATTTGTATGGCCTACAAATAATTGTTCCGGGTCTAGGTGCTTGTCCTTATGCAATTTATGTTTGTTAACTGCCTCCACGATACAGGAGAAAATCCTAAAGTGGGGGTAACGTTTTGCTTTTTTAACTAAATAAAAAAATGAAATACTATTGTTTTCAATTTAATCACAACTTCAATTTATTTGCTCATAACACCTAACCCTATATTAGAAGCGGTCTTAACAAAGGCGCGTAACGGGCTAAGTGATACTGACACTCACACGCGGAAGTAAGGTGCATTTAGATTTAATACGCGCGCCACATAATTTTTTTTCGACTAAATAAACGGAAGGGCATTTTCACGATGTTCACTTCCGAGGCGTGCAAAGTATATGACAGATAAACAGACAACAAAAATCAAAATCAAAAATAATTATAAAGAAAATTTTGTGAACGAATTCGGACTGAAAAAATCGCAAAAGCGGATTATATTTTTTTTTCATTTTCCAATGACAAGTTGGTCTGAAGTTATAGAACGTACGAAAATTCGTATAGCAACATATTTTTTGAAGTTTTTACCGGCGGGTGTGCGTATAGATAGCGACAGTATGTGAGCGAGAGGAGAATAGAGGCGACGCCATTTTCAATCCAATTCTTTAACGGCACAAGTAGTAGGTACGAAATGATCCTTGATAAATTTGCTATCAACCTCTTCAACAAAAGCGATATCACTTATAGTTTCCGCGCAATCCACCATATGCACATGCCACGAAATATGAACATTTATAATCATTTATCGATTTGCTTTTGCTCAACGTTTAGTTTTAGGCACCTGCTGGGGTAGTAGCGCGCGCAGGTGATGAGCAGGTCGAGCACGGTGGCGGCGAGCGCGCTCTCGTCCAGCACGTCTCTGCCTACCCCCCTGGGCACAGGGGCAGGCGTGAGTGTTTATGTTTATGTAGGTGAGCGTGAGGCACCTGCTGGGGTAGTAGCGCGCGCAGGTGATGAGCGGGTCGAGCACGGTGGCGGCGAGCGCGCTCTCGTCCAGCACGTCTCTGCCTACCCCCCTGGGCACAGGGGCAGGCGTGAGTGTTTATGTTTATGTAGGTGAGCGTGAGGCACCTGCTGGGGTAGTAGCGCGCGCAGGTGATGAGCAGGTCGAGCACGGTGGCGGCGAGCGCGCTCTCGTCCAGCACGTCTCTGCCTACCCCCCTGGGCACAGGGGCAGGCGTGAGTGTTTATGTTTATGTAGGTGAGCGTGAGGCACCTGCTGGGGTAGTAGCGCGCGCAGGTGATGAGCAGGTCGAGCACGGTGGCGGCGAGCGCGCTCTCGTCCAGCACGTCTCTGCCTACCCCCCTGGGCACAGGGGCAGGCGTGAGTGTTTATGTTTATGTACGTGAGCGTGAGGCACCTGCTGGGGTAGTAGCGCGCGCAGGTGATGAGCAGGTCGAGCACGGTGGCGGCGAGCGCGCTCTCGTCCAGCACGTCTCTGCCTACCCCCCTGGGCACAGGGGCAGGCGTGAGTGTTTATGTTTATGTACGTGAGCGTGAGGCACCTGCTGGGGTAGTAGCGCGCGCAGGTGATGAGCAGGTCGAGCACGGTGGCGGCGAGCGCGCTCTCGTCCAGCACGTCTCTGCCTACCCCCCTGGGCACAGGGGCAGGCGTGAGTGTTTATGTTTATGTACGTGAGCGTGAGGCACCTGCTGGGGTAGTAGCGCGCGCAGGTGATGAGCAGGTCGAGCACGGTGGCGGCGAGCGCGCTCTCGTCCAGCACATCTCTGCCTACCCCCCTGGGCACAGGGGCAGGCGTGAGTGTTTATGTTTATGTACGTGAGCGTGAGGCACCTGCTGGGGTAGTAGCGCGCGCAGGTGATGAGCAGGTCGAGCACGGTGGCGGCGAGCGCGCTCTCGTCCAGCACGTCTCTGCCTACCCCCCTGGGCACAGGGGCAGGCGTGAGTGTTTATGTTTATGTACGTGAGCGTGAGGCACCTGCTGGGGTAGTAGCGCGCGCAGGTGATGAGCAGGTCGAGCACGGTGGCGGCGAGCGCGCTCTCGTCCAGCACGTCTGTGCCTACCCCCCTGGGCACAGGGGCAGGCGTGAGTGTTTATGTTTATGTACGTGAGCGTGAGGCACCTGCTGGGGTAGTAGCGCGCGCAGATGATGAGCAGGTCGAGCACGGTGGCGGCGAGCGCGCTCTCGTCCAGCACGTCTCTGCCTACCCCCCTGGGCACAGGGGCAGGCGTGAGTGTTTATGTTTATGTACGTGAGCGTGAGGCACCTGCTGGGGTAGTAGCGCGCGCAGGTGATGAGCAGGTCGAGCACGGTGGCGGCGAGCGCGCTCTCGTCCAGCACGTCTCTGCCTACCCCCCTGGGCACAGGGGCAGGCGTGAGTGTTTATGTTTATGTACGTGAGCGTGAGGCACCTGCTGGGGTAGTAGCGCGCGCAGGTGATGAGCAGGTCGAGCACGGTGGCGGCGAGCGCGCTCTCGTCCAGCACGTCTCTGCCTACCCCCCTGGGCACAGGGGCAGGCGTGAGTGTTTATGTTTATGTACGTGAGCGTGAGGCACCTGCTGGGGTAGTAGCGCGCGCAGGTGATGAGCGGGTCGAGCACGGTGGCGGCGAGCGCGCTCTCGTCCAGCACGTCTCTGCCTACCCCCCTGGGCACAGGGGCAGGCGTGAGTGTTTATGTTTATGTACGTGAGCGTGAGGCACCTGCTGGGGTAGTAGCGCGCGCAGGTGATGAGCAGGTCGAGCACGGTGGCGGCGAGCGCGCTCTCGTCCAGCACGTCTCTGCCTACCCCCCTGGGCACAGGGGCAGGCGTGAGTGTTTATGTTTATGTAGGTGAGCGTGAGGCACCTGCTGGGGTAGTAGCGCGCGCAGGTGATGAGCAGGTCGAGCACGGTGGCGGCGAGCGCGCTCTCGTCCAGCACATCTCTGCCTACCCCCCTGGGCACAGGGGCAGGCGTGAGTGTTTATGTTTATGTACGTGAGCGTGAGGCACCTGCTGGGGTAGTAGCGCGCGCAGGTGATGAGCAGGTCGAGCACGGTGGCGGCGAGCGCGCTCTCGTCCAGCACGTCTCTGCCTACCCCCCTGGGCACAGGGGCAGGCGTGAGTGTTTATGTTTATGTACGTGAGCGTGAGGCACCTGCTGGGGTAGTAGCGCGCGCAGGTGATGAGCAGGTCGAGCACGGTGGCGGCGAGCGCGCTCTCGTCCAGCACGTCTGTGCCTACCCCCCTGGGCACAGGGGCAGGCGTGAGTGTTTATGTTTATGTACGTGAGCGTGAGGCACCTGCTGGGGTAGTAGCGCGCGCAGGTGATGAGCAGGTCGAGCACGGTGGCGGCGAGCGCGCTCTCGTCCAGCACGTCTCTGCCTACCCCCCTGGGCACAGGGGCAGGCGTGAGTGTTTATGTTTATGTACGTGAGCGTGAGGCACCTGCTGGGGTAGTAGCGCGCGCAGGTGATGAGCAGGTCGAGCACGGTGGCGGCGAGCGCGCTCTCGTCCAGCACGTCTCTGCCTACCCCCCTGGGCACAGGGGCAGGCGTGAGTGTTTATGTTTATGTACGTGAGCGTGAGGCACCTGCTGGGGTAGTAGCGCGCGCAGGTGATGAGCAGGTCGAGCACGGTGGCGGCGAGCGCGCTCTCGTCCAGCACGTCTCTGCCTACCCCCCTGGGCACAGGGGCAGGCGTGAGTGTTTATGTTTATGTACGTGAGCGTGAGGCACCTGCTGGGGTAGTAGCGCGCGCAGGTGATGAGCAGGTCGAGCACGGTGGCGGCGAGCGCGCTCTCGTCCAGCACGTCTCTGCCTACCCCCCTGGGCACAGGGGCAGGCGTGAGTGTTTATGTTTATGTACGTGAGCGTGAGGCACCTGCTGGGGTAGTAGCGCGCGCAGGTGATGAGCAGGTCGAGCACGGTGGCGGCGAGCGCGCTCTCGTCCAGCACGTCTCTGCCTACCCCCCTGGGCACAGGGGCAGGCGTGAGTGTTTATGTTTATGTACGTGAGCGTGAGGCACCTGCTGGGGTAGTAGCGCGCGCAGGTGATGAGCGGGTCGAGCACGGTGGCGGCGAGCGCGCTCTCGTCCAGCACGTCTCTGCCTACCCCCCTGGGCACAGGGGCAGGCGTGAGTGTTTATGTTTATGTACGTGAGCGTGAGGCACCTGCTGGGGTAGTAGCGCGCGCAGGTGATGAGCGGGTCGAGCACGGTGGCGGCGAGCGCGCTCTCGTCCAGCACGTCTCTGCCTACCCCCCTGGGCACAGGGGCAGGCGTGAGTGTTTATGTTTATGTACGTGAGCGTGAGGCACCTGCTGGGGTAGTAGCGCGCGCAGGTGATGAGCAGGTCGAGCACGGTGGCGGCGAGCGCGCTCTCGTCCAGCACGTCTCTGCCTACCCCCCTGGGCACAGGGGCAGGCGTGAGTGTTTATGTTTATGTACGTGAGCGTGAGGCACCTGCTGGGGTAGTAGCGCGCGCAGGTGATGAGCAGGTCGAGCACGGTGGCGGCGAGCGCGCTCTCGTCCAGCACGTCTCTGCCTACCCCCCTGGGCACAGGGGCAGGCGTGAGTGTTTATGTTTATGTACGTGAGCGTGAGGCACCTGCTGGGGTAGTAGCGCGCGCAGGTGATGAGCGGGTCGAGCACGGTGGCGGCGAGCGCGCTCTCGTCCAGCACGTCTCTGCCTACCCCCCTGGGCACAGGGGCAGGCGTGAGTGTTTATGTTTATGTACGTGAGCGTGAGGCACCTGCTGGGGTAGTAGCGCGCGCAGGTGATGAGCGGGTCGAGCACGGTGGCGGCGAGCGCGCTCTCGTCCAGCACGTCTCTGCCTACCCCCCTGGGCACAGGGGCAGGCGTGAGTGTTTATGTTTATGTACGTGAGCGTGAGGCACCTGCTGGGGTAGTAGCGCGCGCAGGTGATGAGCAGGTCGAGCACGGTGGCGGCGAGCGCGCTCTCGTCCAGCACGTCTCTGCCTACCCCCCTGGGCACAGGGGCAGGCGTGAGTGTTTATGTTTATGTACGTGAGCGTGAGGCACCTGCTGGGGTAGTAGCGCGCGCAGGTGATGAGCAGGTCGAGCACGGTGGCGGCGAGCGCGCTCTCGTCCAGCACGTCTCTGCCTACCCCCCTGGGCACAGGGGCAGGCGTGAGTGTTTATGTTTATGTACGTGAGCGTGAGGCACCTGCTGGGGTAGTAGCGCGCGCAGGTGATGAGCGGGTCGAGCACGGTGGCGGCGAGCGCGCTCTCGTCCAGCACGTCTCTGCCTACCCCCCTGGGCACAGGGGCAGGCGTGAGTGTTTATGTTTATGTACGTGAGCGTGAGGCACCTGCTGGGGTAGTAGCGCGCGCAGGTGATGAGCAGGTCGAGCACGGTGGCGGCGAGCGCGCTCTCGTCCAGCACGTCTCTGCCTACCCCCCTGGGCACAGGGGCAGGCGTGAGTGTTTATGTTTATGTACGTGAGCGTGAGGCACCTGCTGGGGTAGTAGCGCGCGCAGGTGATGAGCAGGTCGAGCACGGTGGCGGCGAGCGCGCTCTCGTCCAGCACGTCTCTGCCTACCCCCCTGGGCACAGGGGCAGGCGTGAGTGTTTATGTTTATGTACGTGAGCGTGAGGCACCTGCTGGGGTAGTAGCGCGCGCAGGTGATGAGCAGGTCGAGCACGGTGGCGGCGAGCGCGCTCTCGTCCAGCACGTCTCTGCCTACCCCCCTGGGCACAGGGGCAGGCGTGAGTGTTTATGTTTATGTACGTGAGCGTGAGGCACCTGCTGGGGTAGTAGCGCGCGCAGGTGATGAGCGGGTCGAGCACGGTGGCGGCGAGCGCGCTCTCGTCCAGCACGTCTCTGCCTACCCCCCTGGGCACAGGGGCAGGCGTGAGTGTTTATGTTTATGTACGTGAGCGTGAGGCACCTGCTGGGGTAGTAGCGCGCGCAGGTGATGAGCAGGTCGAGCACGGTGGCGGCGAGCGCGCTCTCGTCCAGCACGTCTCTGCCTACCCCCCTGGGCACAGGGGCAGGCGTGAGTGTTTATGTTTATGTACGTGAGCGTGAGGCACCTGCTGGGGTAGTAGCGCGCGCAGGTGATGAGCGGGTCGAGCACGGTGGCGGCGAGCGCGCTCTCGTCCAGCACGTCTCTGCCTACCCCCCTGGGCACAGGGGCAGGCGTGAGTGTTTATGTTTATGTACGTGAGCGTGAGGCACCTGCTGGGGAGGTAGCGCGCGCAGGTGATGAGCAGGTCGAGCACGGTGGCGGCGAGCGCGCTCTCGTCCAGCACGTCTCTGCCTACCCCCCTGGGCACAGGGGCAGGCGTGAGTGTTTATGTTTATGTACGTGAGCGTGAGGCACCTGCTGGGGTAGTAGCGCGCGCAGGTGATGAGCGGGTCGAGCACGGTGGCGGCGAGCGCGCTCTCGTCCAGCACGTCTCTGCCTACCCCCCTGGGCACAGGGGCAGGCGTGAGTGTTTATGTTTATGTACGTGAGCGTGAGGCACCTGCTGGGGTAGTAGCGCGCGCAGGTGATGAGCGGGTCGAGCACGGTGGCGGCGAGCGCGCTCTCGTCCAGCACGTCTCTGCCTACCCCCCTGGGCACAGGGGCAGGCGTGAGTGTTTATGTTTATGTACGTGAGCGTGAGGCACCTGCTGGGGTAGTAGCGCGCGCAGGTGATGAGCGGGTCGAGCACGGTGGCGGCGAGCGCGCTCTCGTCCAGCACGTCTCTGCCTACCCCCCTGGGCACAGGGGCAGGCGTGAGTGTTTATGTTTATGTACGTGAGCGTGAGGCACCTGCTGGGGTAGTAGCGCGCGCAGGTGATGAGCGGGTCGAGCACGGTGGCGGCGAGCGCGCTCTCGTCCAGCACGTCTCTGCCTACCCCCCTGGGCACAGGGGCAGGCGTGAGTGTTTATGTTTATGTACGTGAGCGTGAGGCACCTGCTGGGGTAGTAGCGCGCGCAGGTGATGAGCGGGTCGAGCACGGTGGCGGCGAGCGCGCTCTCGTCCAGCACGTCTCTGCCTACCCCCCTGGGCACAGGGGCAGGCGTGAGTGTTTATGTTTATGTACGTGAGCGTGAGGCACCTGCTGGGGTAGTAGCGCGCGCAGGTGATGAGCGGGTCGAGCACGGTGGCGGCGAGCGCGCTCTCGTCCAGCACGTCTCTGCCTACCCCCCTGGGCACAGGGGCAGGCGTGAGTGTTTATGTTTATGTACGTGAGCGTGAGGCACCTGCTGGGGTAGTAGCGCGCGCAGGTGATGAGCAGGTCGAGCACGGTGGCGGCGAGCGCGCTCTCGTCCAGCACGGGCGCGCCGCGCGCCACCAGCGTCCACTTGAGCTGCGGCACGCTGCCCACCGCCCGCCAGCCCTCCATGCTGTTCGCCCAACACTTCGTCTTGTTGTTGATCTCGCCCGACTTGTACAGCTCCTTCAGCTGCAACCATACGATTAGTTATTTATTCAGTTTTTCTATGACTATGATAATGAGTAAATATAGAGTAACCAATAATAATAATAATCTTTATTGATAACTTTACGGTGAATTTGTGAAGTTTCTGACTAAGGACCGCTGGCAATTATACTTCCCAAGTTAACATTAATGTGTCAAACAGAATAAGAATAAATAAATTGTACGTGCGGTGGGTGAGTGCGTGTGGGCGTCCATGCGTATGCGTGTGCGAGTGTGCGTGCCTATGTGCGTGCGTGCGTTACCGTGTGCGTGTGCGAGTGTACGTGCGTATGTGCGTATGTGCGTGCGTGCGTGCATGCTTGCGTAAGTGAGAACGTGCGTATATGCGTGCCTGCGTGTGTGTGTATACGTGTGCGCGCTTGCATGTGTATGTGTTTTATTTAACTAAAAAATAAAACTAAAAACACGCCCCATAAGAAGGAATTCACCTGTGCTTACTTAGAACGGATCACAAAGTATCTTTTTAATATAGAAGGAGATACACCATCCTATTTTGTATCGCGAGAAATACACCATCCAGTTTTGTATGTGGTAGACACGCCACACTGCAGCTATATTATGATTGTAGCACAAATGCTTCGGGTCGACCGGAGAAGGACCACGCTCTCACAGAATACCAGAGTAAAACAGCGTCTTAATGCTGCTGTATTTCGTATGGTGAGTATATTGACCCGGAGATCCTTTTTACTGAAAACAAGGCATTCCATCTTAGCCCTCAGGGGTGACAACGCATCTGCATTAGGTTCTTAATCGAGGATAAAAATGTAGATGTCGTTTGTTAATGTTTTAAAAAAAAGTAAAAGCAGACTACTTAAACTTTTACTTTTTTTCAAGAAAAAAGAAGAAATACATGCAAAAGATTCTGAGGAAGCAAACTGAGGTAATTATTATATTTAATAATATATATTTGTTACGGCCTACGGCTGCTCCCATAAAGATCTAATCCTCAGGGGCCCATTCAGCTGAGTTTCGACGAGCAGACGTAGGTCGGGCCTCCTAAGGCCAAAGTGGAAAATCTCTAGTTACACTAAACAATAAGGGGGAGCGTTCTATACTACGGCCATTCAACAGGGAGAATATTAGACGGAGCTTACTTACCTATATCCAAGGCGACTGCTCCCTCAGAATTCGGTCAGGTCGCATGTGGTTGTGTGGTGCAAGGGAAATAAGGTGCTGTGATGTGTATCTGGGTGTGACTGATGATGATTGACCTTAGTAGACCTTTGCCGTCGGCAGCAGCCCGGGCGTCAGCACCGCTCCAAATTGAGGTAATCTTCCGCGGCGCCGTCCAAAGTCACTTTCTTTGTTCGTCACGATGACAGTCCATTAACTCTATCGTACTATTAACTAACTTCCAGAAGCCACTAACTCTCGTTTGTTATAAAGCTTAACACACAAAACTAACAGGGAGTGTCCGGATCAAAGGTCACTACCGCTTCGCGTAGCAACAGTTATTTCTAGAATATCAAAGGCCGCTTTAGCTAATATTGTGGAACGCACTTATACAGATTCTGAGTCAGACACAATGAGTCCCTGGGAAGCTCTCCAGCAAGGAATGCACGTCACAAATCCTAGACAGTATATTTACTAGCCGCGCCTATTTATTCCGAGTTCCCGAACAAAAATTGACAGCGTGCTGGCGTTAGCACAGCTGGCAGACGACTGCTGCGCTTGCGCGTTCTACGCACGGCCAAATGTCAAACCAGTATGGCACCAAGCCGCGCGCCCTCTGACGTCGATTCCGAAAACAACGTTTGGCGCGAACAATATTGTACCACATTTAATTTAACTTAGTCATTCTTTTTCTGTTTACAAGTCCGTCTTTGTAGGTACGACCCTCTTACTTATTTCTGTCGCCAAATAGCAATCAATACCTGCATTGGTGTGTTCCAGTCTATAGATATACCATGGATAACGCATTTGTTTGAAGTTGGATACAAAGTGTCTATGGACTACAGTAATAATATACCATCAGTTGAAATGTCGATTGTAACTTCAGTTTTATAAAACGAGAACTAAGCCTCTAAGGTATCGCCTTATCAAAGCGTCTAATAGAGTACATGAGTGGTTGTGGTGTAGAGGGTTGTGCTTGGCACGTGCGGTACCTCCTGCAGGCTGACGGGCCCCTTGCGGAGCAGCTTGTCGGGCAGCTCGAGGTTGTAGTACCACTCGCTGGGCGCGGGCTGGTCGCCGGGCTGTGCGCCCGCCTCCAGCACGTTGCTCTGCGCCGGCACCGTGGCGCGCGACGTGTGCAGGTGCGCCAGCGTCGTCAGCTCCACCAGGATCCTACACACAACCACCAATACAATACACATGCTATCCACTATCTCGCATATACGCATCGCCATAGTCATCATTATAACCCTTCACAAGTACACACAAGTACACACTGTCCTGAGCCATTTGTACCCATAGATTTCCTTCATCTCTTACTAGGTCTTTATTTACATTTAGTGAATTAGAGGCCTACACTTCGTTTATTCTTTGAACTTCTTCGGGCTATGTGGCTGAACCATTGCAACTTCAGTTGATAAATGAATCATTTAATAATAATAGTATTATTTTATTTTGTTTTCTATTCCATTAAATGAGTAAGCAACCGTGAGGTAGCGAGGTAAAATAAATCATTAATCCATTCTGCCCCGTAAGTGTCGTAAGAAACGACTAATGGAAATTCCAAAAAGATTACATGTCTTCAGATAGATGACGGTATAACCATTTCGTTTTCGCCAGACGTCAAATACTCACCCCCGGTGCCGGGAGCAACATCAAAGATGCAAGACGTTTAGTACTGCGATCACTAAGTGATATGTGGTAGAAACATGCTGCAGCTATATTAGTGGTATAGTTGTAGCACGAATTAGTCGGCTCGTCCGGGGAAGGACCACGCTCTCACAGAATACCAGCGTAAAATAGTAGCTTAACACTGCTGTTTCGTATGGTGAGTGTAGAGCACCGGAAACCCTTTTTGCTGGAAAAGAGGTGTTCCATCTTAGTCCTCACGAGTGACAACGCATCTGAATTTTGATTCTTTATTGATAATTCCTATAAAAAAACCTTCATATTTATATTTATAGGATTAAGATATATCTTCCTATTCCTGTTTGCTTACTAGAATCTTTGAAATATGCTATCAATATCATTCTTATTATACAGTTGTTAAAGACCATAATTATGACATTGTGTGATGACTTATTTTTGTTTTTGGTAAAGTGTTTGTTTACTAGTAATATTTCTCTGTTTTCATGTTGTTTTCGTTTAGATGCAAATTTGTCCTTGGTGCAAAGTGCACACGTGCCGATCAGTCATATCAGTAAATTATTTTAGTAGAATTTATAGTTTTGAATTATTAGTTTAGAGTTTAGTGTAAAGAAAATAAAAACTAGTTAACTAAGTGAATTGTGTGAGTGTATTGATATAAGTGAGTAAGTTTACATAACATTTAATTATTTTTGATTTTGACTATTAAGTTTTTTTTATTTAGACTTTTTAATCGATTAGACGAGAACTGGTTTGGTTTTTTAAAATGTCGCGAAAACCCAATGAGATATGGACTCATTTTGACAAAAAAGAAAATGCTTCTGGCGTTGCAGTGTGTAAATACTGCGGTCAAAATATATCTTATAAATCTAAAACGGGTGACCTAGGAGCTCATTTAAAACGATCTCACCCTTCAATTTATTTGGCGCAAGAGATGAGTACCGATTTAGGAAATAATCAGCAAATTGGGACTATCGAGTGTTTAGCGAGTACATCTAGAGATACGGGTGGCTCAATTCAAGCTGCCGCGGTCGCCGACAAGGAGACAAGTTCCCAGATTCTAGAGCAGATTCCCAATTGAAAACGGCAAAGAACTATGCAAAATTATATTGTTGTAAAAAATGTCCCCAGAAGAAAGTAAACGGGTTGATCGTGATCTGTTAGTTATTCATAACAGATTTTCAACCTTTCCGAATTGTTGAAGACAAAGGCTTTAAAACGTTTGTGAAAAATATCCCGGGATACACGTTACTTAATAGGAAAAATATATCTTCTGCTATGATCCCGGCATTTAACAGTGGTAGAGCTACGCGGCAGCTTTTGCTGTCGCACGGATGGGCCGTCTCGAACAGGGGTAGTACCACGACCTCACAGAAAACCAGCGTGAAGTAGAGGTTTACCTCTGCGTTTCGCTTGGTGAGTGCAGGTGGCCGGAGGCCCTTTTTACTGGAAATGAGGCATTCCATCTTAGTCTTCACGGGTGACAACGCATCTACATTTTGATTTATAACAGAGGATAGATGTAGATGTCTATGGGCCGCAGCAACCACTTACCATCAGGTGGACTGTGTGCTCGTTTGTCACCCTTATCCTATAAAAAAAAAATTGTACCAGACCTCTTTAAATGAAGTAAAGACCAGAGTTTACTAGCAATGTTTGTTTGACGACTGATTGTTGGATATCGTCCCGACTGAAAGCTATGTTGGCGTAACAGTGCATTACATAGACAAAAACTTTGAACCACAACAAATACTTTTAGAATGTAAAGGAAACTCGAAACTCACACGAGTACCAATTTAGCTAAGGAATTAAAAAGAGTAACGGACGAATGGAATTTAACACACAAAGTCAATTTTGCTATTTCAAACAATGCTCGAAATATTGTCAAAGCAATAGAGTCAGAGCTAGGGTGGAATCATAATAGCTGTTATGCCCATTCCCTTAATTTGATCGTGTCGGGGGCTAAAATCTTCAAAATTAGAGCAAATTGCGTTTTTAAACGCAAACCTTGATCCAAATAGATTCGAATATAAAAAATTATAAAAAAAATACATTAAGACATCATTGTGTATATGCCGATTTTTAAATGCGCCGGAAAGGTTTTAATTTCATACAAATTTTTTCTGCTAGTCCTACCCTAGATTAAAGCATGAAGGATAATCGCGCTAATATGTTTCTGTATTACATTTGCGTTTGTCGTTTTGTTAACTTATAAAACTAAATCAAAGTACGTAAACGGACTGGCAATACTGAAAACGAATATTTAAAAACGGATTTTGAAATCTATTTTGAAATCTGAAATCGGATAAATATAGGTTCATTGCATTCAAATCCAAAAACGCACGTGACTAGTCGAATTGTATTGTTTTGCGTAAATACATTAATCGGCTCGCGTGCGACGGTCACTTATAACCATTAAAAAAATATCTCGATTTAAAAGCAACCACCTATCAACAAGGTTTAATAACACTCTATGGAACAATTGATCAATACTACACCCCCCCCCCCCCTTGATAAAATTAAGGAGTTTTGTTTCCCACATTGTGTGAATACTTAAATTCTCAATAAATATTACAATACAAAACGTTCAAATAGTGAGCAAGCAATCCTTGCCATTGAATCCAATATTACATAACATTTTTTGACTGTTATCATTGTTGATATAAAAAAAATTACATCTCTGTAAAGGGAATTAATATTAAGTTATTTTTAAATAAGAGATATTTCACAACGATATACTACTTACCTTACACCGTTCCATTCCAATATTTCACTAACATTTTTCTTATGTAATATTAACTTTGATAGGAACTGAACTAGTCTATCTCTTTCCATCCTGTCGCACGTCTGTAACATTCGAAAAATTTTAATTTAAGTAATTTAAATTAAAAAAATAGTTGCCGTGTGATAGCGGCGTAAAGAGAGTCACCACCCCAGTTCGTAAAAGGCGACTGTTTTGAACGATCTTATGGCTTCTAACTCATGGCTTCCAATTGATAGCAGTATAGCTATTCTGCTTACGCCAGACGTAATATTCAGACCGGGGGCCGGGGGCAGCAAAGTTGTGATACAAGCGTGGCAATATTAGAAGTGCGGCGTATTTATCGTAACAGATAACAAAACAGGTATCTTAAAATAGCAGACTGTAACTGTGACAAAACAACTGAAAGAACAGATCCTATTCCACAAGAAGGACCACGCTATAACAAATTTACCACGAGATAACAAATCCACTTAAAGACAGTCACAAGTTTTTCTTTATTCATGAATATGACAGTTGCCTTTGTTAGAATAAGATAAAAAATATTACTGTGACACCCTGTTACTCGTCATAAGCTCTTTCCTTTCCTCGCATAGTTAAAAGAGAAGTACTTACCACAAGACTGTAGTAACAGACTGCTATTTTGTAACAGGTTTTTGGAACTGTTATTTATGTGGAACTCGAACAGGCGCAACAGACATGCGACTTTACCTGTTACAGCCCACTCCTAGGCGATATCTCGTAATAAATATAAATAAATATGGCAAATTCCCATTATAATGGGAAAGGCTCACGGCCAGCATTGTACTTTTAGAAAAGGAAGAAGAAATAATAGCTCAGACATCATGTTAAGATATTTATAAAAGTTACTTACCCTATCTAACATTTGAACAATATATTTCGTATCAGCGAATGGACCAATATCTTCATAATATCTTCCGTACACAATAGTCATAGCCTGTAGACACATGCATTTCATTTCGACCTTCGGTGTTGATAAGAAACGGTGATAGAGGTCATTGAAAAATTCATACCTGCAATAACAATCCTATTATTTATTATTTTAACAGGAATCAACTAGATTTTACACTGCATAATGATATCAACGTATGATATTAACGATAGTAAAAAAATATTATTATGAATATTTAGAAGCACCACAATGTTTAACGGGGAGATTTACTGCAACAAGTTATTATAGCGTAGAGTATCTCTCTTATAAATAGGGGCAGAGTATATTTTGTTTTCAAGAAATTACCGAAAACTGTCGAATCAAGGTATTATTTAATTTTGATATTAAATATAAATATTTTTTTTTCTGTGATAGTTATCATGAGAAGTCACAAGTGATGTTCTAATATTAAACAATACTAATAGCGAGAAGATTGCCAATAAACTCCCTATACGAGTATCTAAGATAATTCATTCGGAAAGTACATACTACTACTAATCCATTTATACTTTCATTCATAGTGATTTATTCATTTATATGAAACTATCGTCAGTACCCATATTATCGGTATTTTTTATTTAACTGTCGATATTTAATATACAAAGAACTACTTCATAGAAGAGAAATACTTACGACTTGCGTATAGGGCTGTCATCGTTATCCCTCTGCTCGAGCAATATCCTGAGGTAATAGTCGCCGATTTTGACTTCGTTCTGCAAACACTGGTAATGTACTTCCAACTCCGCGTGGTTCCATGATGTTAGAGTGTTGCCAGCCACATCACGGTCCGACGTAAATGCACGTAGTTCATTCTCTAACGCGTTACGGAGTTCTTCACGAGTCTGTTAAAGTGTTTGAAAATAATAACCTTCCCTAATTGCCTTTGATGTGTAGTTGTACTTAAAGAAATTATTTTCGCTCTCACTTTGTGCAGAGTTAGAAATATCCCGAAAATCTTTACATGCTCAGATGGTGACAGAAACATGTTTTGATGTGAGAACTTTGATACTATGATTACCTATAAATAGTAATTACTTAACGAAGACGAGAGGTGTGGTTTACTGCTAAGCTTCTTAAAAATTTAAACAATATAGAAGCTTTAATAAAATGTATATATTAATTAACATTTGAACAATATATTGGCTTTGTAAGAAAATCCGTAGCCTGAAATAAAATATCCCAAACCAGAGACGGGGGCAGCGTTTTGAACTTGAAACAAGTGCTATTGCGATATTCGCTCTGCTGGGTTAACTGATAGATAAAAATTAAACATGGAATAAAATAAACGACGATGTTGACATTGGGTATGTTCCGATATACACTGCGAGCACTGCTCAGTGCTCTCACTGGTGAAAAATTCGTTCCGTTGTGGACTGTCAGTATACTGCCACAGTATCCTAAGGAAACATGTACTTTGATCACCTAATTTAAAAACATAACAGCGCCTAGAGATTTAACAGCTTCCACGAATGATTGTTATTATTATTAATTAATATTGTTATTCAAATAATCTCGGAAATTAAGTTTTAAAAGCAACAAAATTTAAATAATATTTTTTCTTGTTGAACAGAAAACGTGTATATGATAAATATTTTTATTTGAAAACAATGTTGAATAATTTAAAATGTTGCACAACCGACTTCAATATAAATTATTAAGAATAACTTAAAAACTATTGGCCAGACCTTGATCAAATTTATATGGAACCATATGAGAAGCACCAGTTTTCAGAAATAAGTTAGTAACATTGATATTGTAGTGAAATGATTAAATTAATTACTAATAGCAATTAAGGAAGATAAGCAATATAGATTTTGATATTTAAGTGAATAAATTAATATCAAAACAAATAAATGATCCTTAACGAAATACCACTGAATGGTGATTGGGAGCCGTACTACTAGTGCTAATGCATCAATTTGTATTTGTACTAACTGATTCACTAACCCCTACTGCCCCTACATTCTTGAGAATGATTTTATGCAATTATGGATTAAGAAAATTCGGATTAATTAAAGATGTTAAGCAAGCTCACGGTATGGTTCCATATGAGGTTGGGCAGCGCGTGGTCGCGATGGAACTGGTAGTAGAAGAGCGGCCAGTTGGCGGTGGACTTGAGGCGCTCGCGGCGCCGCCGCAGCAGCACGGGCCGCTCGCGCCGCTCCGCGACCGCGCCCCCCGCCCCCGCCGCCGCGCCCGCCCCCGCGACCGCACCAGCCCCCGCCCCCGCCCCCGTCACGCTGCGCGCCCGCTGAGCCCAGTGCTGCAGCGCGAGCGACGCGTAGTGCTGCCACAACCAACACAAGTCGTAAGCCAAGGGAACCAAAAAAGTATTTTTAATACAGTTGCTCAAAAAGTGGCGTATTGCAGGGACGTATAGCGTTCGGGATGTGAGCTATTACATACTCGAGCTTTTTCTTTACCTTTTCCGAACTCGTGCGTTCTCTTTCCCAACTGTCAAAATAATGTCTATTAAAAAGAAAAAAACAACCACGAAGTTTTTACTAAAAGAAATTCATAGAAGTTTTTATGATTCATGCAAATATTTCTGAAAAGAAGCTACTAATTTGTTTCAACATCAGATTTAATGATTTGATTCAATGATTTAGGTTAGGTTTCATTTCATTTCATTAAATTTCATTTTCATTTCATATCAATAAAAAAATTCTACTGAAGACTTGGCTGTATCGGCACAGTTCCCTTTGCCTACCCAGAATCGGTGAAAAAAACAAAAAAGTCTCTGCTTATATGTTTTTACTATTTTACTTTTTATTATTTTATTAAATTGCTTCATTTTTTTTTCGTAACTGTATTAAAAATAGTTGTTCAGTACACGTGCGGAACCGTCATTGCAACTTGTTCCGACTGTCAACCCTCACCTTCAGCTGCGCCTTGGCTCGGGTAGACATTTGTCGGAACTCTTTACAATAACAGGCTTTCCGCACTCGTAACGAAATATACTATTGCCGAGACAACAAAGGAGCGGTAAATAAATTCGCAATATGTGACAAAATAAATGATCGCAATTAGTAATCAAGATTGAACATGTAAACGCAAGATCAACATCGGGTCAAATTGAAGATGAACGTCGATGACATGGGCTCTCCGCGGAAAGACTTTCCATTGACGTCAGTCGAGTTTGGTGTTGATACGTATTTTTACAGAAAGATTACATTTTTATAAGCACACACACAAAGGAAAATATGCGGAAACACGTACTTATTGAGAAAAAAATATTGTAAATCAAATAATTTTGCAATATTTAGTCAATTCCTACCGTAAAACTGACGCCATTTTTATTATTATTGTCAATAGGGATGTCGATTTTTTCCGAAAAAGATCGATTTTTTAAATAGATTCGAATTGTAAACTGATGTATCGATTCCCAAAAAATCGATTTCTAAAATATCGATATTTTTTTCATGTTTGCATTTATAATGTAAACATAAATCCATTTTATGAGAAAAAAATCCCCTTCATCATAAAAAAATAAGGGAACTGATTCAGAAGGATTTCTGTATCTATTTTGAGACTCCTACGTCTCCGGCTCTATAAAACCACTCTAGGGGTAAGACAGACTCGTACCAGGTGGAGTCGGGGTCAATCAATTCGGTTCTTTGACATAAGTTGAACCTAACCTATTTTATTTGTTATCTGCCCTAATAGGTATTGTTAAATAAAACAAATTTCAATGAGAGATCATATCATGGTATCTTTCTTGTTTTTCATAAAATGGGTTTATATTTACATTATAAATAGAAACATTAAAAAATATAGATATTTTAGAAATCGATTTTTTGTGAACCGATACATCAGCTTACGATTTGAATCGATTTAAAAATCGACCTTTTTCGGAAAGAATCGACATCCCTATTGACGTCGACAATCTGCATAACAGTGGTAGAGCCACGCGGCAGCTTTTGCTGTCGCACGGATGGGCCGGCTTGAACCGGGGTAGTACCACGACCTCACAGAAAACCAGCGTGAAGTAGAGGTTTACCTCTGCGTTTCGCTTGGTGAGTGCAGGTGGCCGGAGGCCCTTTTTACTGGAAATGAGGCATTCCATCTTAGTCCTCACGGGTGACAACGCATCTACATTTTGATTTGTAATAGAGGATAGATGTAGATGTTTATGGCCGCAGCAACCACTTACCATCAGTTGGACTGTGTGCTCGTTTGTCATCCTTATCCTATAAAAAAAAATTCTTATTTTATAACACTACTCCTAACTCCTCAAATTAGCTAAAACTCACAATTTTTATTTTATTTTATATGTGGATGTTAGCTAATTAATTTTATTATCTTTAATACATCGACCCTTGAATTTAGGCACATTAAAATAATGTGCACATGCACATAAAAGTAAGAACGTGCCACTATGGTTAGATAAGACTTGTGTAGACACAGAATGGTCGGTAGGAGGCAAAGAAATCTATGTTTACTACTAGAACGGCAATTTAGATAAAAAACTGTTTTTAGTTGTTGTAGAACGCGCAGGCGCCGGTTGGGCTAGCTGACGCGGTAAATAGCCACGCAGTTGCATTTTTTTTGTTTATTCATTTATGCTTAATTTACACACTAAGTAAAAAAAGCGGACTTAATGCAACAGGGCATTTTCTACTAGTTTACCTCCAGTTTTACCCATTTTCATTTACGACTGTTATTGTTTTTAAGCAAATACGAAGTAAAGTTGCATATTTATCTGAAATAAACTTCAAAACATGTGGATGAAGTATTCGCGTAAATATTGATAGCGTTTTCTTAGTCACATAGAACAAAATTGATAGTTAGATTGTCAAAAACAACGTGTGGTGTTTACTAAATAAAGAGTTAGCTTTCTTGATCGCTTGCCTGCGTCAGCTGCAGGTTGTCGCGCTCGCCTAGCAGTATACATACAAGTGTTCGGTAGGAGGTGAAGCGTGTGATCAGTCGCTCACCTCGATGTGCTTCTCGACGTGCTTGAGCTGTCGCTCGAGCGCGTCCCAGTGCGGCGCGCGCGTGCGCAGCGTGGCCTGCGCCAGCTGCAGGTTGTCGCGCTCGCCCAGCAGTATACATACAAGTGTTCGGTAGGAGGTGAAGCGTGTGATCAGTCGCTCACCTCGATGTGCTTCTCGACGTGCTTGAGCTGTCGCTCGAGCGCGTCCCAGTGCGGCGCGCGCGTGCGCAGCGTGGCCTGCGCCAGCTGCAGGTTGTCGCGCTCGCCCAGCAGTATACATACAAGTGTTCGGTAGGAGGTGAAGCGTGTGATCAGTCGCTCACCTCGATGTGCTTCTCGACGTGCTTGAGCTGTCGCTCGAGCGCGTCCCAGTGCGGCGCGCGCGTGCGCAGCGTGGCCTGCGCCAGCTGCAGGTTGTCGCGCTCGCCCAGCAGTATACATACAAGTGTTCGGTAGGAGGTGAAGCGTGTGATCAGTCGCTCACCTCGATGTGCTTCTCGACGTGCTTGAGCTGTCGCTCGAGCGCGTCCCAGTGCGGCGCGCGCGTGCGCAGCGTGGCCTGCGCCAGCTGCAGGTTGTCGCGCTCGCCCAGCAGTATACATACAAGTGTTCGGTAGGAGGTGAAGCGTGTGATCAGTCGCTCACCTCGATGTGCTTCTCGACGTGCTTGAGCTGTCGCTCGAGCGCGTCCCAGTGCGGCGCGCGCGTGCGCAGCGTGGCCTGCGCCAGCTGCAGGTTGTCGCGCTCGCCCAGCAGTATACATACAAGTGTTCGGTAGGAGGTGAAGCGTGTGATCAGTCGCTCACCTCGATGTGCTTCTCGACGTGCTTGAGCTGTCGCTCGAGCGCGTCCCAGTGCGGCGCGCGCGTGCGCAGCGTGGCCTGCGCCAGCTGCAGGTTGTCGCGCTCGCCCAGCAGTATACATACAAGTGTTCGGTAGGAGGTGAAGCGTGTGATCAGTCGCTCACCTCGATGTGCTTCTCGACGTGCTTGAGCTGTCGCTCGAGCGCGTCCCAGTGCGGCGCGCGCGTGCGCAGCGTGGCCTGCGCCAGCTGCAGGTTGTCGCGCTCGCCCAGCAGTATACATACAAGTGTTCGGTAGGAGGTGAAGCGTGTGATCAGTCGCTCACCTCGATGTGCTTCTCGACGTGCTTGAGCTGTCGCTCGAGCGCGTCCCAGTGCGGCGCGCGCGTGCGCAGCGTGGCCTGCGCCAGCTGCAGGTTGTCGCGCTCGCCCAGCAGTATACATACAAGTGTTCGGTAGGAGGTGAAGCGTGTGATCAGTCGCTCACCTCGATGTGCTTCTCGACGTGCTTGAGCTGTCGCTCGAGCGCGTCCCAGTGCGGCGCGCGCGTGCGCAGCGTGGCCTGCGCCAGCTGCAGGTTGTCGCGCTCGCCCAGCAGTATACATACAAGTGTTCGGTAGGAGGTGAAGCGTGTTATCAGTCGCTCACCTCGATGTGCTTCTCGACGTGCTTGAGCTGTCGCTCGAGCGCGTCCCAGTGCGGCGCGCGCGTGCGCAGCGTGGCCTGCGCCAGCTGCAGGTTGTCGCGCTCGCCCAGCAGTATACATACAAGTGTTCGGTAGGAGGTGAAGCGTGTGATCAGTCGCTCACCTCGATGTGCTTCTCGACGTGCTTGAGCTGTCGCTCGAGCGCGTCCCAGTGCGGCGCGCGCGTGCGCAGCGTGGCCTGCGCCAGCTGCAGGTTGTCGCGCTCGCCCAGCAGTATACATACAAGTGTTCGGTAGGAGGTGAAGCGTGTGATCAGTCGCTCACCTCGATGTGCTTCTCGACGTGCTTGAGCTGTCGCTCGAGCGCGTCCCAGTGCGGCGCGCGCGTGCGCAGCGTGGCCTGCGCCAGCTGCAGGTTGTCGCGCTCGCCCAGCAGTATACATACAAGTGTTCGGTAGGAGGTGAAGCGTGTGATCAGTCGCTCACCTCGATGTGCTTCTCGACGTGCTTGAGCTGTCGCTCGAGCGCGTCCCAGTGCGGCGCGCGCGTGCGCAGCGTGGCCTGCGCCAGCTGCAGGTTGTCGCGCTCGCGCTGCGCCGCCTGCTCCTGGTCGCTCTGCGCGCCGGCCGGCGGCGCGTCCGCGCTGTCCAGGAAGGCCAGCAGGCCGGACGGCATGATGCGGCGCAGCAGGTCGTGCGCCGGCGCGTGGTCGACGAGCCAGAGCGCGACGAGGTGGCGCGCCAGGTGGCGCAGGTGCAGGCGCGCGGGGTGGGGCGCGGCGGGCGCGGCGGGCGCGTACAGCGCGGCCAGCAGGTGGCGCGGCAGCGCGGCCTCGGCCAGCGCCAGCGCCTGCATGCGCGCGCCCACGCGCCCCGCGCCCTCCTCCACCAGCGCGCGCGTCACCAGACCCGCGCCCTTCACGATCGCCAGCGACGGGTGCTGCACACACACGCACACACACCCACACACTACTTATGCAGCTTCTTATACACTTACTACTATTACTAAAATATCACCAAGTAAATAATGTTTAAGTATAAATACGCTTTAAGCGTCTCCCACACACAAGCGGCTTGCGGTGGCGGCTAACCGCGGGCCGCGGCTCCAACCGCTGCAACAACATACCACCGCGGCCGGAATGGCGGCCTGAAGCGCCATTCGCTGTGGTGTTTGTGCTACGATCGGACGTCAGTAAACATGACAAACCGTGGCGAAGTTTTATTATATTCAGCAATATTATTATATATTTTGTTTGTCCTAATGCGTTTGTGATCACGATGCGAATTATCATAAAGTACAGGATAATTTTGCACTGTTTCTATTAAAACCTCTGAATTTAGCACCATTTTTCACGCGGTACACGCGGCCTGTTGTAAAAATTTACAACTGACCGCGCTGCGGCCATTGACTGACCGCGTACTCGCTAACACACACGCGTTGGCAAATGGGGCGGAGCATGCGGCCGCGGCCAGCCGCTGGCAGGCCGCGCGATGGCCGCACGAGTTTAAGTTTAAGTGCCAATGCGTGTGTGTCAGCGAGTACGCGGTCAGTTGTAAATTTTTTCAACAGGCCGCGTGTACCGCGTGAAAAATGGTACTAAATTCAGAGATTTTATTAGAAACAGTGCAAAATTATCCAGTACTTTATGATAATTCGCATCGTGATCACAAAAGCATTAGTATTAAAACAAAATATATGATAATATTGCTGAATATAATAAAAACTTCGTCACGGTTTGTCATGTTCATACGTCCGATCGTAACACAGACACCACAGTGAATGGCGCTTCAGGCCGCCACTTGGGCCGCGGTGGTGTGTTGTTACAGCGGCTGCAGCCGCGGCCCGCGGTTAGCCGCCACCGCAAGCCGCTTGTGTGTGGGAGACGCTTTATGCTTTTCGTGATGTCTATTAACGACATTGTCAAATGAAATAGGTTCAAATGTCAAATCAAACAATTATATTTGTATATATTTTATTAATTAAAATTGCTTTTAATTTTGCTATAGGAGCCGTTGTTCATTTGCAAAATTGTTAAGAAATTAAATATGCATTATAAAACTTTCCAATTAAATGGTGCAAGAAGCGGAAAAAATGATAACAAGAAAAGGCTATTCGTAACAATATTTCCCTTAGATGATGAAAGGTATGTGGTGATTTCAACTTTAATAGTAATATGATATTCAACGCGAGTATATTTTTGGACTAGCCATCTATGTAGGGCATGTTTTATAGTGTACGATTGTGTGCACAAATACAAACACACTATTTCCTAAATCTGATAGTTCGATGGTTTAGCAATCCGAAACGAACTATACTTAGAAACTACAAGTCAATTCTGACTGCTAACATTCTATTTGTTCAATAATAATGTGATTTTATTTATATTATTTTTTCAGATGCAAGCAATGGGTGAAATAGCTGGCACATGCACCAATTGAAAAGATTCACATGTTAAGACATATTTGTGACAAACATTGCATATGAACCAAACTAAAACGAACTGTTATTTCTTTAGTGGACTTCCTTTAAACTTCCACAATTTATGTGTATGTTATATATATAATTAGATTATATAACTAAATAATTATTTTATTCATCAATAAACATTAGCTATAATGAGGACTTATTTTGAAAGTGACAATTAGTAAACGATCTCTGCGAATAGTATGTACATAGGTGCCTCTGTGAAGAAGCCTAGCGATTTGTACATAGTATTTGTTACACATAAAAGCAATTTAATCCAATCGGTATTAAAACCCCAATATTTTTACCCTTAAAAAAACTAACTACTTATTTTACAGCATAGCAACAATTGTTCAGTGCGGGAAGGAAGCCTCGGTCCTGCAATGCCGCAGCCAAACGCTTAGCCACTGCGCTACGGAGTCGTCATTTATTTTTTACTTAATTAATTACTAGTATAAAAGTGCGTTTTTTATTTTATATTTTCTTTATACATACTTTTGTACCTAATTGTAGAGATATAAATACAAATTGCTGTGTGTAAAATACATTGATTTCTTATCCTCATCGGCATTTTTACTCAATCCACACGTTTATTTCTCATAAATGATTCAGCATAGATATCTCACTTTTCTTATGTAAAAATATCGATAAACAATATATCGATAAAGGTTATATCGATAAAACTATTCGAGGATAGACATTTACAGCACTATTGTAATTCGTCAATGTTGTCAGCACTGTTTCTCAAAACTAAATGTCATATCTTGATGTTGGTAGAGTAACTTGGCGTAATTTCATGCAATTATTTTAACTATGGAAGTCCCGCCTCTTAAACGTAGTGATTATATTCTCTTTGGATACCTCGTTTAGAGCGAAACTCGAGACGTACTATCGACAGTGATGTGTCTTTTCTATTGGACTACATTATTGGGAGTAGTTGTACTGGAATAAGTGGTGACGGGAATAGTGCACGCAATTGAGGGCGGGCGAAAGGTGCTCTCCGAACTAGGTAAGACATCATATTATTTTGCGGATCTCAGCTAATTAATGTTCAACGTATTTAGAATAACTTTTATTATTTTAATTCATACTCAATACCTTAAGCTACAAGTCAACAAGATTGTTGACAGTTTTTACTGTAACAACTGAACCAAACAATTAGCTTTATCGTTCATGATTTGTACAGAGAGTGGAATAATTTGACAGTATCTGTCATTCCATCCGATTACAATGTGGGTGTTGAAAACACCCAGGCAAGAATGAACAGGCTTTTGTTAAGCTGTCAGTACGCTTTACGTGGGTGGGATAGTAGTTAAACACTGGCTTATAATAGTTTAAAAAAAGACATAATTTTTAACATTTGTAATATTTTTAATATGCTTAGTGACTACAGTTCTTACCTCGAACAATTTGAAGATGACTCGCCCTCTATTAGCAACCATTTCTAACAGCTGATCGAATTGCTTTCCGTCAGTTGTTTCGCTGTACGGCACGCACAGCGCGAACGTCAGGAAATCCAACATCGCCGCCACCACCAATGCACCGCTACCTGAAGTCTATGAAGCAAATAATTAAATACCTTATTATTCATTATAAACATTTATTCAGAAACTAAAATAATAATTTTAAAATTTTACACTATTTTGTAAAATAAATAACTACAATTTGCATGAATGCATGCAAAGTAGTTCCAGGATAAGTAAACATGATGATAGCTTTAATATTTTTATTAAATTATGTGTGTCAATATATTATACTGATAGGAAAAAATTACCACAAAGTGTGTAGAGTGGATCGATCACATTTATTAATAGTGCTGATATGTACGTAGTTGCATAGTAGCGGCATAATAGAATCAGTATCCCTTGTCATCCCGTGGGTGTCAGCATAGGCAACTGAAGTAAATGAAACAGGGGATGCGCAGTAGCATTTTCCTAAAAACATCTCAAAATAATAGCGGTGGCAACTGCAGTTTTTTATTATTTTGAGACGTTTGAGATGTTATGTTATAACTCGCCTGCCAAGCATGGCAAGCATGGCAACCATGGCTAATATCCCGCTTATGAGGGAAATTAAGCATTAAACTTGTGATAGGCTGCAATGAAAAAATATAATTTGTTATTATATGTCAATTAATGATGCATAAACAATTTTCTCATAAAACCGGTCATAACTGGGATTTTACTTCAGCCAAGACTTTGTCGGGTATTTTGTATTTAAAAAACATAAGCGTTAATAGGGAATAGCGCAACTTACGATGTGTTCGGCCCACATGGCGAGCAGGCCGTCGAGGAAGGCGGGCGAGGAGAGCATGCTGGCCTTGTTGAGCTGCTCCTGGCGCAGGTCGGGGTCGAGGTGCATGGGCTGCATGAGCGCGCACACGGCCTCCAGCGCCGCGTGCGCGCAGCCCGCCTCCTCGCGCCGCAGCGCGCTCACCACCGCGCTGCCGATCCACTCGCGGAACCTGACGCCCACGCATAATAATACTCATAACAATTACCTTTGCTCTCCCCTATCGAACACTCCCATCTATTTATTTATTTATTTTACTATATTTAATGTATATTTATCATTTTCTTTTATATATATATATATATATATATATATATATATATATATATATAAATATATATATATATATATATATATATATATATATATATATCGGCAGCCAGTCTCAACCGAGACCAGCCATCTGCGCACAATAGTATTATACTACCGACCAGGGATTGGAGACCGTGACCTCATGGTCAGCAATGGCGCTTACGACCTTTAAACCAATGAGGCAGTCAACAAAACTTCGGTACATATCTATATACGTGAAGGAAAACTTTGTACCCCTTTTTAAGCATATTTCGCACACGGAGGAGTGAAACATTTGGTATATTTAAAGTTTAGGCTGAGTAGAAGTGTAGATAGCAAAACAGTATTTAAAATATGTATTACAAATACATGAAATTAAATTAAAACATTCAATGTTTACGTTCATACTGTTAATATAAATTTTCATTATATAATCACTAAGTTTTAATATAAGTCTGTGGTCAAACAGTCGCACAGAGTAGATTGTCGATAAATTATTTTAAAATTTTGTCGACTAATAATTACTGACATATCAACTGAATAACTTTTGAGTTTTGTGTGATTTCAAAATGTATGTAATGTTCGAGTATATCAATGCTAAAAAGCATTTATTTTACATTTTGTACATGAGATAATATCAGCGTTTTATATATTAATGTGTTTAATACAAACCTTAAAATTTAAATTACGGTCGGTAATTTCGACCATTAGGCGACCACTAGTTCTGCCTAAACACTTCTAACTCAGGCCTTCGTCACTCGACAATACCTACACTTACGGGCGTCCCGGAGTTACTGCCGCAAGTCTGTTGCCACTCACACACTCAGCGTCGTTTTGATGGAATACTATACATAAATCTTTTATTTTAACTCCAATGAGTCAATCCTAGGACGTTTTCACATACAGGCTTCCGTATAATCTGCGACAACTCATGCAGGCTTAGATCTTTCATACGTATATTGTGTTTACTGTCTAAGCCACCTGTGCATTCAGGTGAATTTAAGTATTCAAAAAAGCAGTTGTGCTATCTCTCTCTCTCCCCCCCCCCCCCTTTTTACTTGGCCTTCAACCTATCTATACTTTTTTGATTTAGTTACTTTAATTCCTTCTGGCATACAATCTACTTATAACTTGAGATCCAATCCTGATTTTATACTAATTCCACGCCAGTAATTTATTGATTGAATAAATGAGATAGTCGACTATATTTCTATCCACCTTACGGCAGGCGAAAGGAAATGTCTAGAAGATATTGTGACCTCCAATAGATGGCAGTAGTAATATTAGATAACAGAAAGTAAAGTCAAAAAGCCAAGTATATAGTAATGAAACTAAGCAACGTGTTAAGCGTGATGATTGCAGCATATCCTCCCTAATATGGGTAAAGCTAGTGGCCAGCAGTAAATTATTTTCGGCGGCATAATGGCAAATAGATAAGCTAACCTAACTAAAATGGGTGCAAACGTTCCAAAACCCTTTAAAAATTTCTACCAAACATTTAACATGCCTCTAGTTATTTTACATATTATTAATTAGCAAACCGTACTCACCCAGGTAACGCAGTGAAGGCAGCAAAACCAACTTTGCTTGCGCAAAGTCGCCTCAATGCGTGAAACTGAGCCTCCAGCTCACGCGGGGTCAAATCCGCTCCAGAGGGCGCGCTGCTCACTAATGCGGTTAACGCGCCTGAGATAAGTTTTTCCTTGTTTTCAGCAAACAATCTCTAGAACCAACACAGAAATTGTATAAATATATATCTGTATTTATTGTCCAATAAAATGAAGCCATATTAATTATAAGCTATTTTTAATTTACATCAGTACTATTAGCACAAAAAACAACTACTCATGTACGATTTGATTGGGAAGAAATTGTGACTATGAACTTTTAACTTCTCAACCGTTCAATTAACATTAGAGTTTTTTAAAATGCAATAAAAATTTAAAGTTACAGCCTATATACATCCCACAGCTCCGCACAGGGCTCCTCTCATTTCCGAGAAGGTTTTAAAAATGCAATAATTTAAATATAATACTTAAAAGAACCTTGTCCGATCCGTATGAGTGCTTTTAGGTATAAGGATTAAGGTTTGAAGAAATTTTATTCTCAATAAAGACATATGTCACTCACTTGAGAATAATATTAACACATGCAATTACACAAAGTTCGTCGTCATCAGTTACAAACTAGATATACTCATTCAAAGCCTTCATTTCTCCAGAAGTGATCGATCCGTAATTATATACTGATTAAGTTGAGTTTTGAATTCATTGAAAGAGTGTAAAATTCTTATACTAGAGGGTATGGTATTCTATTATAAAGCTGTGCTCCTTCAAAAGTTAGCATTTTTTGCCATAGTTAGTAACTACTAATTAAAATTAATTAAAACAAAATTAAAAATTAATTTAACCAATTAAACTAAGTAAAATCCTGTTCAAGTAATCCTATTCAGAGAATAAATAGATAAATACCCCCTAAAAATAAAATTAAATTTAAGAAAATGGGAAAACTTAAATGGCAGTACATGTGGCGGGGTCGGCTCTTGGTTAATAATAATTATGTAATTTACCGACGACGATGTTGTCAGGTTTTAAATATTTAGTAAATTTTAGGAAATTTCTAATAAATAAACATGTATTTTTAATAATAATAACATTCTTTATTCACATAAAATTTTTTTTGGTAACGTCATCACGGTAACTATATGTCCCTTTCGAATCGGACAGGGTTTTATTTACATACTACAATATATGTACATTAATTTATGTCACTGTGACAGGACATACATGTCGACATACAGTGTAAAAACCCCAATTGATTATTTACATTATTAAACAACATATCAAATGAAATGCAACAAATTTGAATCTACTCCTTTGTCATTAAAAGATATATTAACTCCCAGACATGCTAAATTAACATTGACATTTCACCATTGTTGATACCCAAGACCTCGCGCAACATAGAGAAGGTTTAAAAAATAATAAACATTATGGGGACTTACAAGATCCCACGTAAGAAACAGCCACAACAGGGGACGGGCCTACAACGCATACAACACAAAATTAACATGCCCCATAGGACAGACTAACACAAAATTTTAACTTACACATAATATAAATAAAAAATAGTAAACAAGGCGTAAAGGCAACCATCTTTATGTTGTTTAATATACTGCTTTAAGGTTTATTTTTGACATAATAAAGCATGCAATAAAAACTAAAACTATAATTTTAATTCTGTACAAAAGTTTCTAGACATCTATTCGCACGTTAAGTAAACTAGCAGGAAGGGATGCTTAAATTTGTTTTATTATGTATTACTTGTTCGTTTATTTCACAGGTGTGTGGCAACTGCAACTATATTGTGCTAGTAGCAAGAGCAGGTCATCTTGACCAGGGGAGAACCACGTTTGGACTGCATTTTAGCGTAAAATAGCGGCATAATCTACCGTGTCTCGTATGGTGCAAGTAGATTATTTCTACTCTTTGGTACTGTGAGTTATAGAGAACCGCAGACACTTTTTACTAGAAATAAGGCATTCCATCTTAGTCCCCAGGGGTGACAGTGCATCTGCAGTTTGGTTCCAAGGCTGTATTCTAATTGGCAACGATCGTACGAGAAAACGATGCAATTTTGTCGCACAGCAAAATTAAACACACATTTATTTAGTGTCCTAATTGAAGCTTGCAAGTGATTACGCGAGCACAGGAAATGTTTAATAACGACCGTACGATGGGTTTGATGGAACGATTGTGCAATAAAAGCTAAAAATATATTTGCAATGTCCTAATTGGTCACGCGTCATGACGCAAGCGCACCAACGCAAGGTGTGGTGGGAGACGGGCGGCACCTGTGAGTCGAGTTACAGACGATTAGAGACCTCAGAGTATTATGTGGTCTACGTCTTCTTTTTTCAATGTCATTTGCAAATTGTCATTTGCAATGTGCATCTCTGTAAACAGCCACTGTTGAAATGGCGCAGTTACGGTGACGGAGCAGCGTTATCGCGCGAGCTATTAGGATACCAGTTGAACCATCGCAAAGTTGGAAATCGCATCGTTTACTCATACGATCGATAGCCATCGATAGCCACTCGTACGGACGATGCCTTAACCGATGACAGTTGTACATGTCTAAGGGCCACAGTATCCACTTACCATCAGGTTGACTGTGAATCCATTTGTCACCCCTAACTCTTACACCTATATTTGCATGAGCGCCTCTATATTCGCACTTCACTTAGGACATAATAATACATCCTGCACAGATGGTAACATTAACAGCATTTGAAAATTGTCATAGTGGTCAACATAAAGTAATTTATTGTTCAATCGTTCAATTCTATTCAGATCAATTTCGACTACAATATTGGGCCAAGATAAAATAATAATTTTTTTTTATGCCGCCACCACACGACAGTATACTGTTAATTTTTAGTAAGTAGTTTTTAGTAAGTGTTTGAAATCATGTGAGTAAGCTTGTACGAAGTTATTGATTTGAAGATATTTTTTAGTTTTGTTGCACTATATTAGCACAAAATATAATATTTCTTAGGAATTTACTAGTTACAAATCTTCAGTAAATATAATTTTTTACTTTTTGAAATACATACACACCTTTAAAGTTATCTGTACGATAAGCTTATTTGGGAACATACAATTTGGATTGTTATTTTATAATGATAAGATAACATATGCGGATTTGATAGGTATTGTTGGTAATTTCATCTCTCGCTGGATTTAGGAAAAATATTTAGATTTATTGATATTAAAATTTATGCTTTCCTATAAATATATTAATTTATTAAAATCCAACAAAATCTACAAAAATCTTCTTCAATTAAACAGTGGTAAAAATAGCACACACACTGGTTAACAAACAAATAAATGACAACATTGGCAAAGGTTCAAGCATTGTTAGTTTTAATGAAGATGCAAACAGTAGCGCAATATGCAACAAATGAAAATAATACTCAATTAGTCCATATCTTACGTCTTGGCTGACGGAGTATATTAAGCCACTGTATCCAACGTTAGCATTAAACCGTTCTATCACTTCAGCTCTCGACATGCCGACCGAATTCTGAAACAATCTAAAAAGCACGCACGATAATTAATTCATTAATTTTTCTAAACTATTTTAATTTAATAATATAGAAGTTATACTAACAAATCTATAAATACAAAATGTCATGATATATCCACGAAAATTTGTCAATTCTCAGCAAGCTATAAGATGACTATATGGTTGGATTTCTTTTTGCGTGACTAAGCCCATAGCAAAGTCCACATGCGATGGAAACAAAACTACCCGATAAAGCCCAGCGACATAGCTGGGAGACCCAACAACCGATGCGTAAGAAATGTTCTCGAATGACAGCCGTGTACTGGAAAGCGGAATGTAGGGCAGCACTCTGCTATATGGAGTGACTACCCGATAGTCGTTGGATGCTAGTGGCTCACTGCTTTGATGACCGTGTTTTGGAGCAGTGTAGTGATAGGCCATGGATGATGCTAATGACGGATGTCATTTTAAAGTGTGAAATCCTTCCATTGTAGGTAAAATAAGAAAGGCTATTTATTATATTATACAAAAGCTGCTGTTATAATAAACTTCCAGTATTATGGCCACCCAGAAATTGTATACCGGTTGAGGGTCGTAAATAGGTCCACTTCTATGGGGATATAGCATGTTTTCACAGAATCCTAGCAACCCTGCAGAATCTCGTGGAATAAGAATCATGTAGCAGAGTTATTCTGCTGTGGAGTAACAGAATCGGGGAGCAAATTGCTAATAACAGGTCAACCATCTATGTCCTTAGAAATGACAACGCATTTTAATAATGTTTATTTGTGGATAAAAGTAGCATTGGATTAACATATTTCGCATACTGTCAGGTAGGCTGTGTGCTCGGTTGTTTACTTAAAAAAATATCTAGGCTCGAATCTAGTGATTCCCGTCACCATTAGCGCATCTAAAGTATACTGCTGAACATAGGCCTCCCTCACAGACTGTCTCACATTGGATGATCGGAATTCATGTCATCTTGCAAGATGAAACGCGTACACTTTAATTGTCATTTGAATAAAAATATTTGTAATAAGAGCTGTGGTAGTTCAGGGACTAAGCGCTTGCCATAAATTCGCGAGCAAACTGGTTTCGATCCCCGCCGGCACCAATGAAATTGTTAATTGCGAGATAAAGAAAACATCGTAAAGAATACTAAGTGTCTGAGGTATATAACATTTAGAAGACTTGTGAGCCTTTCAAGCACTGGAGCAGCGCGGTGGACTAATTTCTCCAATAACCTCTCAGATGTTTTTTTTTATAGAATTAGGGTGACAAACGTGCACACAGTCCACCTGATGGTAAGTGGTAGCTGTGGCCCATAGACATCTACATCTATCCTCGATTACGAGTCAAAATGCAGATGCGTTGTCACCCGTGAGGACTAAGATGGAATGCCTCATTTCCAATAAAAAGGGTCTCCGGTTCTCTACACTCACCATAAGAAACACAGCAGCGTTATGCTGCTATTTTACGCTGGTATTCTGTGAGAGCGTGGTCCTTCCCCGGTCGAGCCGACCCATTCGTGCTACAACTATACCAGTAATATAGCTGCAGCATGGCTCTACCACGTAAAAACCATGTGAGGCCTATGTCGCGTACATTCTGTATCTTTCCTAATTTTAACACACACAGGCTTAATTCATAACTGTTATAATCTCACCTGAGATGATTGGACTCGGTCTCCTCGTCCACGGCTTGGTGCAGCGGGCCGAGCCTGTAGCCGCGCGGCGTCAGCGTCGAGCGCACGTGCACGTCCCGCTGCCCGCTCGACCGCACGCCGTCCACCAGTGAGGCTAACAACGCATCCCTTTGGACAAAACCACCAAGTACCATCTAAAGTGGCTATTGACTAGATGTCATAATGACAGGCAAAAATTAATAGTAACAGGGATCCGGTTCAATCTCGCAAAATCGCATTATAGAAGGTTCTGAAGATCTCACGTTTAGTAATAATTCTTAACAATCATGTTTGTCAATGTCGGAGCCGTGGTAGCTCAGATGGTTAGAGCTCTCTGTAAGTTTCACAGTACCCGAAAAACCCGGGTTCGATCCCCGCCGGCACCAATGAAATTGTTAATTGCAATTTCGAGCTCGGCGGTGAAGGAAAACATCGTGAGGAAACCTGCATGTCTGAGAAATAAGAAAAAAAAATATTTCGAAGACATGTGAAATTCGCCAACACGCATTGGGGCTGCGCGGCGACCTTTCCTTGCCCTAAAACCCTCTCAGAAATGAGAGGAGGCCTGTGTCCAGCTGTGGGAAGTGTATATAGGCTGTAACTTTGACTTTTTTATGTTTGTCAAGCTTGTGTATGCCTGGCTGTTAATTTGTGACTTTCTGTAGAGTACAATATATCATTAAGTTTGTCTTCGCCGCCAGCACTACATTCCTTGTTTATAAATAATAATATGAAAAATGTTTCAAACTCAAAGTAGCAAATGTACATTTTAACGCTAACAATAAAGATAATGATTAATAACAACTAATATATAAAAAATGTTGAAAGTTATGAAAACTTTATGCTAAAAATTTATACATTTATAAGGTAGGCTGTGTACTACCACCTGCTTGGGATCTTGTAATTAATAAAATTAAAACTAAACCCAAGCATACCTCTGCAATACTTCAAGACACAGTAAGTAATTCTGAGTAGATTGGTCCAAAAGTAATAATTAAAAAGCAGAAGGTACTTTAAGTTAACTCTGACATAGGGACGTCACCTCAGTCCCCCGCGACCATGGGTGTGAGAAAACACTCGGAACCAGGGCTCGGAACCGGTTTAAAAAGAGCGGTTAATTTCGATTAATTACCGGTAAATTTATCGCTCCTTCAATAACCGGTTAAAAAATTAACCGGTTTTTATTAAACCTAAACGATAAAGGTTACCGGTTACTTAACGGTTTTGACACCCAAATTAACCGGTTAATTCCGTAAAACGTAAAGGCAGTTATGAATAGGACAGGTAGATTCACGTTGTGAGGTGCGGCATCGCCGCATGCGGGCATACTTATCATCAATTATCTACTTTTAAGCGATACGTTTTTCAGTCGCGATCAGGGTGTCTAGAGGGAGTTGGCGTTTACGAGCCTAAGTTACTTCTTATAACATCAGCTATCTACCAGTGAAAGTCAGGTCAAAATCGGTCCAGCCGTTTCGGAGATTAGCCGGAACAAACAGACAGACAGAAAGACAGACAGACAAAAAATTTAAAAATCGTGTGTTTGTTATAAGTACCGTATATACTTTCACTGACATTACAAACAGACACTTCAATTTTATTTATTTGTATAGATGAGCAGAAAAAAAGTAAATAGAATTTATTCCATGTTTACGTTTTAACAGTGGTAGAAGTACGCGGCAGCTTTTGCTGTCGCATGGACGGGCCAACTCGAACCAGGGTAGTACCACGGCCTCACAGAATACCAGCGTGAAGTAGAAGTTTACTTCTGCGTTTCGCTTGGTAAGTTTAGGTGGTCGTAGCCCCCCCCCCCTCCCCCCTTAAAGTATGGTAGCGAAAACAAGTAAAAACTACCCCAGGAGGGTACCAGCATCCTGGTGACGGAGAATCCTTCGCTAAGCACCCTACTGTTCCTGAAGGGGGGGGGGGGGGGTGTATCCGCAGAGATCGTCATCCTTGACGATTTTAACGACAATCACGCCGAATGGCTCGGATCAAATTTAACTGATCATGTACGGAAATTTGTTTATGACTATACCTTGGCATATGGTCTTACACAATTGGTTACTTTGCACGGATTCCAGATGTGGAGGAACATGCACCTTCCCTGTTGGAACTTCTGCTGACCTCTCATCCGGACGGATATCAGGTTTCCATCGACACCCCTCATGGCTCCTAGGGCTATTGTCTTGTCCGGAGGGTGGTGTCACTCACACTATCATCGAGGTTGCATTCTGCAGGCTGCCGCCGTGTTTGGCACTATAGTTCGGCCGATTGGAAAAGGATGCGGTCTTTATTTGCATTCTACCCTTGAGATTTTCCCCGGATTTTCTTGTCGCTGGACAATCCCAACAATGTTACTGATTCTGTCGCTGATGTGGTACTTCAGGATATGGAACTTTTATTCCATCTTCAGTGGAGCCCATCGGAGGCAGGTTCCAGCCATGGTTTGGTCGCTCATGTAAAATAGCATCACACTATAAGCAAGAGTGCTACTAGGCCCGGGCTGACGACATCCTTACATCCTGAGACGTTGATGTTTCGGGATGTAAACACCAGCGCTCTTCAAAAGAAGCTAGTTTGCCTTTCTTCGGTAACCCGTGCATTCTGGTCTCTTTCCAAGGCTGTCAAAATAAACTTCTGTCAGCAATCTCTGCATAGAGAGGGTGACTCACTGAGTCAATGCCGCAAAGGAGAAAGCCGATCTGTTAATCTCTATTTTTACGTCCAACTCGACTCTTGATGAGAGAGGAACACACCACCGACCATCCCGCGGTTTGAGTGATCCATGCCAGATGTGCGGTTTACACAGCGCTCGGTTCGCAAAGCACTCCTCTCCCTGGTCGTCAACAAGTCGAGTGGGCCTGATGGTGTCCCTCCCATTGTGCTGAAGACGTGTGCTCCAAAGTTAGCACCGGTTTCAACGCGTCTCTTCCGGTACTTCTACTCCTAAGGCGTTATCCCAAATTCATGAAAGACAGCTTTGGTTTACCCGATCCCTAAAAACGGTGATCGCTCAGACTCGTCAAACTACAGGCCTATCGCCATCACTTCCTTGTTCTCTTGATCAGCTGATGCTCTTCTGGTCTATCTAACTCATAGATGGGCGAAGGTAGTAGAGTCGAAGGGGTAGGCATTGGCCGTTAGTTTGGTCATAGCGAAGGCCTTCAATCGGATCTGGCACAAAGCGCTTCTTTCGAAACTCCCTTCCTATAGACCTCCCGAGAAATTGTGCAATTGCACTACCAGTTTCCTTGGTGATCGGAGCATCAAGGTCGTAGTAGACGATGCATGCTCTGATTACAAGCCTATTAATGCTGGTGTTCCACAAAGCTGCGTGCTATCACCAACGCTGTTTCTATTGTATATCAATGATATGTTGCAAAACTGGTAACAACGACAGCACTGGTGATGCAATATACACCGACCGTGCCAATATTTCTCAGGAAAACGTCTCCGAGTACCGGAACAAACTTATGTCTGAAGTCGAGTCTTTGCTGAACAAAGTCTCGGATCGAGGGCGGCTGAATCTAGTCCAGTAGTCGCTAAAAAGAACCCCCTTTTCCGTATCTCCTCCGTTTCAAGCCCCTTGCTGTCTCAACTAGCATCGAAATCCTCGGCGTCGACATATCGAATAGTGTGCAGTTTTGTGGTTACTTGGAAGGGAAGGCCAAATCGGCCTCTAAAAAGCTTGACGTTCTCAGCAGAGCGGGGCAGTATTTCATGTCGGCACATCGCTTGCAACTTTACAAAGCGCAAATTCGGCCACTCATCTCTGGACCGGGGCACGCCAGTGTCAGCTCCTTCCACTTGACCGCATCCAGTGCAGAGCGGTTCGAGTCGTTGATGTCCGAATTCTTTCTGATCGGCTCAATTGACTAGCACTGCGTAGGGATGTTGCATCACTTTGCATTTTCTATCGCATCTACCTCGGTGAGTGCTCTGAGATTCGGTTTAGTCTCAGCCATCCTCACCATCTGGATGCTCGACACCACCACTGTGCGCTTTACTAGGAGTTTTCTTCCTCGTACAACTTCTCTGTGGATATGTTTACCACCGGCGATTTTTCCGGACCGATATTTGGGACATTCAAGAAAAGAAATTACTCCTTTCTAAAAGGCCGGCAACGCACCTGCACCTGTTGATGCGGTTGTTCATGGGCGGCAGTAGTCACTTACCATCAGGTGAGCCGCATGCTCGTTTGCTCCCTTTTCTATAAGAAAACGTACTACGAGAAAACCCAAAAATCTAAGTGCTTGATTGAGGGCTGTAATACGATTGTCAAGGTGGTTTCTAGAGCACTCATACACCCAAATTAATCCAATAACGGTACTTGGCATGACCCGGGATTCAAACCCAGAACCAAATCATGATGCACAGTCGGGCTAGTAACCACACCAATCGGTCCAGCCATTTCGGGGATCAGCCGGAACAAACAGACATACAGACAGACAAAATTTAATTTTTTAACTTTCATAGTATGTATTTAGTAAAAATCTGTTATTTCGACGTTACGAATAGACACTTAAATTTTATTTATTTGAATACTTTCATATTCGTAAAGTATGAAAGTTTGTAAAAATTCAAAAGTGATTACTATATTATTTTGATCCTGAGGCGTTTTATAATTCAAAACAAGATCGTAGATATCAGTGTGATTTATACTGATGATCTAGTTAATTGAGAGTTATTAATAATTACTTTAAATAAAACACAGGATTTTTAGTGTATGTATTTAGTTACGTTAGTACGAATTTAATCATAATAATTTGTTAGATTCAAATTATTTTTCTTTATTAATTTCAGTATCAGTAAATTTAATTTTATCTATGTGGTGGTTACCTAGCACTCTATTTAGAAAAGCTAATATTTTTAGTAGCATCTTGTACGTATACAACATGATAATATTTGCTCCAATTCCTCATTAATGAGTTGTGAAAAATGGCAATTTCTTTTGTTAGAATTCTCTCAACATAACAAACAATTTTTTATCGTGTTTAGACATGAATTCTAGTTAAACTGTACACCTCAGAAGTGGTCATTATTAATTTTTGCAAAGACGGAGATAAAGATAGAGGAATCACGAACATCTGAATTTAAAAAAAATCTGGTAATCTGCCTACATACAATTTCATAAACTTTTCAAAATATCGTGTTCTGTTAAGAAAGTTCATCATTTATTGTGATATATTACTAAAACTTTACCGTGCCTAACTTTTGCTTGTCAGACTTTGAAATACACAGAAAAAAAAATTACCACGTGTTAACGGAGCCTAGAATGAAGCATGCTTAAAATTAGGAAAATCCAAAAAATAAAACACACTAAAATAAGAAGCATATCTAAAGCTACTGATGCTCTAAGCTATGCCAAAACCCTGAAATGGAAGTGGGCAGGGCATGTAGCGAGACTGTCAGACAAGCGATGGGCTATAAGTGTGACACGGTGGAGAGGTCCAAGCGGAAAACGCTACAGAGGGAGACCGCTTACCAGATGTGCGGATGATATAAGCAAAACGGTCGGTCCAAGCTGGATGCAAAAAGCCCAAGATAGAGAATAGAATAGAATAGAATAGAATAATTTTTTATTCAATATTGATTATTACATAATTCTTATTGAAAGTAATTTTTTATCTACCACTGGTTCGGAAAATACCTCTGTCCTGGGAAGAACAAGCAAGAAACCCAGCGGGACTTTTTTTTCAAACATATTTCACTTAACAATAATTTCGTTTATACAATTTTTAAATGATTTATCATAGAACCAGCATGGTGGCGATCACCTTATTTCCAGGGTTTATTTTCATTCATGTATTCCTTGATATTATAATAACCCTTTTTGTACAGTCTTTCTTTAATAAAACTTTTAAACTTGTTTATTGACAAACTTTGAATATGTTCTGGGATTTTGTTGTAAAAGCGTATACATTGCCCCATAAATGAATTACTAATTCAGTGTAACTGGTATTACAAGCTTATGTTTGTTCCTAGTGTTTAAAGTATGCACATCCTTATTCTCATTAAAGCTATTTATGTTTTTATGTACATACATTAAATTTTCATAAATATATTGCGATGCCAAAGTTAATATGTTTATTTCTTTAAATTTTTGTCTGAGGGACACTTTACAATTTAGGTTATAAATCGCCCGAACGGCTCTCTTTTGCAAAACAAATATAGCTTCAATATCAGTCGCATTACCCCATAGCAAAATTCCATAAGACATTACGCTATGAAAATAACTGTGCGACTTCTAATCTTTCTTACAGCATATGCTGCAGAACTAAGTCTTCTTGCTAATTTAGATATATTGAAGTTTCGCGTCAATAGTAATACCGAGAAAAACAGTGGTATCTACACGACTTAACTCCTCCCCATTTAACAGAATTGGGACTCTTTAGAGGAGGCCTTCACCTGCGGAAGGGGTCTTGCAGATTAGATATTTATTTTTATCCTAAGCTTAGTTTATTTATTTTGTTACTTTTGCAAGAAATAAAAGAATTTTTATTTTTATTTTATTTATTATTATTACTATATCTAATGACATTAAATTAAAGATGCAAAGCGTAATTTTAATAGAAAACGTTAACTATAATTAAAGTCAATTTAAATATATAAGGTCAAATTAAACTTGATATCGAAACTTAATTTTAAAGTGAAGATAACGCATAATTAATTGAAACAGAACTTACATCTGTTATTTATAATACGATCGTTGCTGAAAGATGAAAAAATATGAGGGAGTATGTTACAAGGCAGTCGCGTTGATGCTATGAATATATCGTCCGTGTGTCTAAAAACCTCGTGAATTAAACAGAAGGCAGCCGTACAAAGATGGGTGCAAGCGGGGTAAGGGAGAGAGGGGACATTACAAAACTTGGTTTTAACCGGTTAATTCTTACTACCTAAACCTAAATTTGTGAAAAACCGGTATTCCGCAAATACCGGTTTTGGGGTCAATGACCGAAACCGGTTAGGAATTTAAACCGGTTTCCGAGCCCTGCTCGGAACATCGGGAATTAAAAATAGTTACAATTAAACGCGATAAAATCCGTAAAAGTAGTTTTATTCAACATATTTAATCAATCAGAAATGGAGATTATATCAATATAGAGAATGCTTTGCCACTTTCAAAATAGTTATCAAATGCAAGTCTTGCAACAAACTTACCTTTCTCCTGCTAGGTAGGTACGAATTTGTCCATTAAGATATTCAACAGCAAACTTCTGTGGATGATCAGGATCGCGGATCAGGGCGAAAACGTCACTAAGAGGACGTAAGCACACCACCTAGTTATAAAGAATTTATCATAACATATTTTAGTTCCTAAATTCTGCAAATATTGATACGTAATAAAAACCTCGACTGATTCAAAATGGGTGGGTATACAGGACGTATCAACATATAAACAGAATACTATAATTATGTTTTATTAAATTCTATAAATACAATGTTCTTAAATAAGCTAACTTAAAACCTGATTCCTCATATTAATCTATAATATATAATCCTCATATAAAACTATCGTCGCTGTAATGCACTTATTTTGGGCCGCCCATTAAAGGTGTCGTTATCAGACACACGGTCGCAGTTTACCATCTGGCATTGCAGTTGCGGCGAGCAGTTGAACAGTTTACAATTTCACACAAATATTGCATAAGCGCATTTATACCCGTCATAAATAATAACCTGCGCATGTCGTACTGACCCTAAAAGTAACTGCAACGAACTACTGGTTGTCTGCCTCGTTGGACGTAAGAGCGGCTGATGATTATGAGGTCCCAGGTCCCGGGTCAGGCCATAATCAGTTATTGGATTTTTTTATCAAAAAATTCTCGATGGCAGCCCGGAATCAGAAAGTTTGTGGTGTTGCATCCCCGTGCCTCGGATAGCACGTAAGACCGTTGGTCCTGCGCCTGATCTCCCTCGGGTCGGATTACCGTCCCATCAGACTATGAGAGTTAGGGAATGGAGAATGCACCTGTGTTTACTTGCGCATCACGGAGCAAATACAAAGAGGAGACGTCCTAAGCAACTATGTACTGTGATTCTAACTAGGTCCTGACGACATCGCAGTGGGAGTGGCTTTAGTTAGTATACTGTCAGCGTTTGTCCTGTGCGCTTATGTGTCGAAAATCGCAAATCCTTGTATTTTCGTAGTATTAAGAAGAAAAGCATGAAGTGTTATGTTTTATCTTGTAAAAACTACTCAGATAGACGCTCTGATGCTGGATGGCATCATATTTCATTTGTAAGTAATTTCATACTTAATTTATTAAAATAGTTCTAGACAAATCTATGCGTCCGCTTTCAAATATAATTAAATATATTCGACACTAGATGGCGACACTTTGTGCCATGGGAATTATATTATTAAAATATAAAGGTACGTAACGTAGAGCTCAGTATTGGTAAAATAATCATACGAAGGTGCTGAGATTTGTTTTGCATTCAATCCTAAAGATTTTTAATCGCCAAAATATTAATTTTAAAATTTTTTATAATAATTTTTGTGAAGAGGCCGTCATCTGTCGTCAAGGTAGCTAAACTACATTGCAACATCGATATCGAACGATACGAGTAGTTTTAGTATTTATCGGTAGATAGAAAATAGTTAAGTGGGCAGGGTTTAACACCCCATCACCCTGCAAATTGTCACACGTTGTTACATAGTGAAATCTAATTAGAATACCTCCTCTTTGTATTTGCTCCGTGTTGCGCACACGCTAGCGCACTACAATCCTATCAGATAGCTAGTATCTATTGAGAATGGCCGATATGTATATATGACCATAATTCTGTATGGAGGATATTACTAAACTCACTGTTTTTTGAGACAAGCAATTCCTATCAATGCTCTTCAACAACTTCTAGCTTTTTTATGCCTCACCTTTGATGAGACAGTCGACAGTCCACGTGTCGCACCTTTGATGAGACAGTAGACAGTCTAGGTATTTTACACCTAACAAGATGGTTATAACGTTGTACTTCGTAAGCCATATGATCTTTTTGTCATAGTCCATAGACGCCTCATATGACATCTATGGGACGAAATGGAGTAAAGCTACCGCCATAATTATGCCATTAAATTAATACTTAAATTACCGCATTAGTAGTGTGGTGTCACTAGAGTTTACCATGACATAGGCGGCAAAAATTTAATTTGAGCTCACGTCGCACTGTGAACCAACTGTAGTGTGGTCACTTGACGCAAAAATTACCGCGGTAATCGTCTTTGATATGCGAAAAAGACCGCCACTGGAGCTATCGCCTACCGTCATATGGCATATTGATTGACATTAAAAAATTATGGCCATAAATAGTGGCTGCACCTAGGTGTTTCATTATTGACATATCACGGTGTGGCGTAGCATAATGCATTCTCTTATGCCGCCATCGTATGGCAATATTTGTTAAATAATAAGATTTTATCATACTTTTAGAAGTAATGAAGCCAGTACATAGTACGTAGTTTCAAATGTCGCACTTGCACCTTACCGAATATGTTTGTGGGTCTCGCTCTAGTATGCATGTGTCAGAAAGGCAGAGTGTACGGCGCATAGGCTCCATATGACGTGCCGGGTTGACTTTGTGAACCGTAAACTCGCTCAATGACGTCTGATGATGATCGCCGCTAAAATTCAAAGTAAAAATAAATAAGATTTCAGATGCAATAGGCTTGAAAATTATGTCATAATTTGTACTTAATTGCATGAGACTTATATGGATATCAAAACATGGGGATATATTGAAAATAGAACTTACGAAATATATTTCACTCTTTAGTTAATAAATAGTGATATAACTTGTAATTGGTCACATTTTTTTACACATTTATACATGATCATAATATACATCTTCCGGATGACAAAACCACATACATACATATAATCACGCCTCTTTCCCGTAGGGGTAGGCAGAGACCAGTTCTTTCCACTTTCTACGATCCTTACATACTTGTTTTGCTTCGTCCACTTTCATTATTCACTTCATACATGCTCTACGGTTTAGGGTACTCTTGACCTCGCCTTTTTTCAAGACGTCCCTTATTTGGTCTAGAAATATCCGCCTAGGTCTACCCCTTCCAACACTTTCATTCACATTCGCCTTATACACTTTTTTCGTCAATCGTTCTTCATTCATTCTCTCGACATGGCCAAACCATCTCAGCATACCTTTCTCAATTTTTGTCACTACATCTTCTTTCAGACCACAACGTTTCCTTATCTCACTATTTCTTATCGTGTCACTCAGTTTAACTCCTATCATACTTCTTAATGCTCTCATCTCAACTGCATTTATTCTGCTTTCATGTTTCTTCTGCCATACCCAAGTTTCACTTCCGTACATGAGTGTCGGAACCAACACCCCCTCATACACAGCCAAACGAGCGTTGTTAGACACCTTCCGACTGCTCATAAAGGAGTGCAAAGCTCCATTCACCATATTTCCTGCATTCACTCTTCTTTCAATATCACTCTCACACTTTTTGACAAAACCATACCAACAAAAAATCATTTATTTCTTACTAATATGCCATCTAGCTTGCATTACTTGGAAGAATGAATATATATTATACAGGGTTACAGGTTAAGTCGACCTAGATCAGTTAAGAGGTTGTAGTGTGCATCATTTCTGACTGATTTGACTATCCAACACCATACCTCAAACTAAACCGTTTTTTTAATACAGGATTTTAGTTTTTTCATAAAATAGACGAGTTTTTGTCTATTGTCTATTTATTTTGTAACTATTGCCTCTAATTTATTTTATTTTTCAATTTTTGTGTAATAAATAAGTTTTTTATTATTCTCAACACCAACATTGCAAGTAACTAAACAAATTGGGTCATACTCGTAGATTGAGAGTTAGGAAAAGGGATAAGTTCCTAAAAAATATTTTTCTTTCAGCATGGCTAGCATGGGCTGGGGACAAAAAATTTATCCACCGATTATATCCACTGACAAAGGATAAAATTATCTTGTCCTTATGCCAAAGCATGGCAACGGGGAGAAGTATATCCCCGTTTGACATAACGAATAGACATATATCCCCCGTCCATAGCATGGAGCCAAATGAAAGATAAAAAATTATGCTTTTTTGATATTTGAAAGGGACAATTTTATCCTAGTTCATTAGACGTGGGTTGAATATAAAATTCATACAAAAATCTATCTAAGTCTAAGTCTATCTCCCGTTTTATCTACTGTGGATATTATATCCACTGGTGTGCCCATGCTCGAAGGGTGGATAAAACTAAGCGATAAACATTTGCTTCTTTCCCCGGGGATAAAATTGTCTCCTGCCCATGCTAGCCCGGCAGGAATATTAAAAAAAGGTCTGTGGTATGGAGAGTAATTAATATTAATGTTCCTGTTGGATTGAATGGTTTGCAGCTGGAGAAGTAGCTTGTGTCCTACTGCTGCTATCACAATGCAAAAAGTATGTTATTTCTCTGCTCCGGCTACATATTTATTTTTCTATTTTCTCGCCAAGGGGACAACTACCGCGCTGAACCTTCCAAAACCAGTTCCAAACCTGAGGAGCTGGACGAGAAAAAATAACAAGAGCCCGCGAGTAACAAAACTTCTGCGGAGCCACAAAGTACTGACGACCTTTTCTCTGCTGCCTGGCAAGTGGTGAGCCGTAAGGGGAAAGGCAAGGCACCCAAAAAGGTGACTTGCCGACCTGACGGACCATCAGGAGGGTCTATCCCTGCAGGCAGTAGTGGAAAGGCCAAAAAGAAGAGCAAGAAGCAGCGGGAAAAAGGCCGAAGAGAACGAGCCGCATTGGCTGCTTCCGAAACTAAAACCAAGGAGGCAGGGCAAGCTACTGCGACTGGGGTGCTTGGCGCTGAAGCTGGGAAGGATAAAAATCCAGCCCAAGTGGAAGTCACGGCCGCGGGAACCAGCTCTAGGATATCCGCCAGGAAGCAGCGAGCGGCCAAGCGTCCTGGGAAGAGGGAAAGAGCAGCCAAAAGGATGCTGGAAGAGTCCACCTCGCCTAGAGGTGAACACAAAAAAGTGCGACTCGAACAGCAACCAAAGGCTGCAAGAACGAGCTACGCTTCCGCTGCTAAAGCAGATTTGGGTGTGGCCTTAACGTGTGCGCGTTCAGGTCACATTACGTTGGAAGTAGCAGACGATAATAATCTTCCTCGTGGCAATACAGAGGAAGATTATCAGCGAAGCCTGGAGTAGCCAGGACCCTGATGCGTCGGGCCCAGTTTTTAGGGGCAAACCCGTTTACACGGAGGGTGTCCTGAAACTGTGGTGCGTTGATCAGAAGGCTCTGGATTGGTTGAAGGGGAATATTGCTACCCTCGACCTTAAATCCAACACCTTACTGACCATTAATAAACAGTCGGAGATACCACAGAGTCAAATGTGGTATCCTTATCCCTGATACCCAGGGAGCCTGGAAAGACTCACGCGACATTGGTCGCGTGCTGGCGTACCAGAACCGCTGGGTTCCGATCCTGATGAAGGCCGGACGCCGTCTCGCATGTGTATACGGGGCGGTATACGTAAAATTCCAGGGTCTTGGAGGTAAATTCTTTGACACTCCACCGAGCAAAGAGGCAGAAAATAACCCGGAAGTTATAGATACCGGAGCCATGGTTACCAGTACAGCGGAATCACTGAAGGCCAAGTCCAGTAAAAAAACGGCCTGCACAATTGAGCCGAAGCCCCCAGTAGAGATCAGGCTCAGCGGCAGCTCACTGAGTGACGAAGAGGACTGCATTTTGCCGACCACTTCCGACTCGGTGGCTGACGATGAAACCCGAGATCTGCTGGCAGGCCTATTTTTGGGCGGGGACGGGGAGGACGCGATCAATGATGGGGTGCCCTTCGTCCAAAACTAGCCTAGTGCAGGCCAACCTCCACCACAGCGAAACTGCGTCGGCTCAATTACGCAAGTGGTTGGAGGTTCAAAGGACTGCCATAGCCTTAATCCAGGAGCCATGGGTTGGGGCTGGTAAAATTAAAGACCGAAACAACCTAAAAGGTAAGCTATTCTACAGCTCTGAACACGAAAAGCCTAGAGCGTGTATTTACACTACTAAAGATATCTGTGCACAACCATTAACAGATTTCTGTTCTAGAGGCATGTATGCCGTGGCAATACAATATACACAGGAGAGAAGATTAGTCGTCGCCTCGGTCTACATGCCGGAGGAAGACACTCCTCCCCCTCATGACCTCGGCAGGCTGGTGAACTTCTGTGAGAAGACCGGACTAGAGGTTGTGATCGGGACGGACTCCAATGCACATCATCCCCTCTGGGGAATGGAAAGACCAAATGAACGAAGTAAGGTTTTAGTTGAATATTTATTTAGCACTAACCCAACCATTTTAAACATAGGTTCTGAACCAACTTTCATAAACAAACGCTGTCGCACAATAATCGACCTCACACTTGCAACAGAAGGAGCAGCTAAACTAATTACAGGATGGCATGTGTCGAAAGAGGCCTCATGCTCAAATCATAGATGGATCTGTTTCGCACTACAGGTCGATATCTCCTCTACACCTACCATGGAGAAATCCCCGCAAGACGGATAAAACAAAATACCTTAATAGGCTGACGTCTTCGCTCGCGGGTTTTGAGGGTATAAATATTATAGCAGATCAGTCGCTCCTAGAAGAACAGGTAGCAGCTGTTACTAAGGCCATGATAGATAGCTAACGTAAGAAGGTAAGAAAAGCCCTAAATAGTGCCAAGAATACCTCAATGGATGAAGACTGGCTACTATATAAGAAAGCTAAGTCTGAATACAAAAAATGTATCAGGTATTTACGCCACCCAGTCGTGGCGTAAATTCTGTGGCAACATAGAAACCTGCGAACAAGCAAATAGGATAAGGAATATTCTAGCTAAACAGAACACGTCGGGATCCATCTCTCTAAAGAAACCTGACGGCATATTCCCGGCACTCCTACTGTTCGCGCAAAACGCTGTTGTCGGAATCGACGTCTAGGGGGCGCGCGGCTCTGGGCCATACCGGTTTTTGACGTCGGCCGAGCGGTGGGCTGAGAACGCGTAAAGGCGAAAGAGTCGTCTGTAAGCGGTGCTGACGTTAGCACGCTGTCATTTTTGTCGGGAACTCGGAATAATTAGGCGCGGACAGTAAATATACGGGCTAGGATTGGTGACGCGCATCCCTACTGGAGAGCTTCCCAGGGACATATTGTGTCTGACTCAGAATCTACATAAGTGCATTCGACAATATTAGCTAGTGCGGCCTGATATTCTAGAACTAACTGTTGCTACGCGAAACGGTAGTGACCTTTCATCCGGAAACTCCGTGTGCGTTTTGTGAGTTAACCTTATACCCAGCGATAGTTAGTGGCTTCTGTAAGTTAGTTAATCGTAAGATAGAGTGAATTGACTGTCATCGTGACGAACGAGGAAAGTGACTGTGGACAACGCCTCGGAAGGCCCCCTCAAGTTGGAGCGGTGTTGACGCTCGGGCTGCTGCCGACGGCCAAGGTCTAGGTTCAATCACCATCAGTCACACCCAGATACACATCACATCACCTTATTTCTCTTGCACTACACAAACACATGGGACCAGACCGACTCCGGAGGGACCAGTCGCCTTGGATATAGGTAAGTAAGCTCCGTCTAAATTCCTCCCGGTCGACTGGCCGTAGTATAGAACGCTCCCCCATATATTTTAGTGTAATTAGAGAGATTCCACGTGGCCACATTGAGGCCCGACCTACGTCTGCTCGGGAAGTCTTCTGCTCATGGGCCCCTGAGGATTTGACCCTTTAAGGGAGCAGCCGTAGGCCGTAACATCTACAGTGGGGGGTAAAGCCCTAATAGTCAGACTTGTTGCCATAACGAGAGCCTGTCTGGCTCTTAAATATGTTCCTAGGGGATGGAGGGAAGTGAAAGTCACATTCATACCCAAACCAGGTAAGAGCGACTACACTGACCCTAAATCATACAGGCCCATTAGCCTCACATCCTTTCTCCTAAAGACGATGGAGAAGTGTGAAAGGGAATTAACGGGGTCGGCGTTAATGAACTTACCACTACACGACAAGCAACATGCCTACAGTCTAGGAAAATCAACAGAATCGACACTTCACCAGGTAATTACAAAGATTGAAGAGGCCATCCAAAATAAAGAAATATGTCTAGGTTCCTTCATAGATATAGAAGGTGCTTTTGACAGAACAAAATTCTCCAGCATAAAAGGTGCACTCAGTAGACATAAAGTTGAACCGGCACTGATCGACTGGATAGTATACATGCTCAGTACACGAATAATAAAGATTGCTGGTGAATCTCAACCAATCCAAGTTAAGAAAGGCTGCCCGCAGGGTGGGGTTCTCTCACCTCTCCTGTGGAATATGGTCATTAATGAACTCTACAGATAGAGATTTACAGACTCAATGAATGACTACAGAATTAAGTCCACTTGAAATGTTTATAATATATCACTTCAAATGTATTATCACTACACTGCAGGATAGTAAAATAAATTGTAATCATATATAGCAATGATAAGAAACATCAAGCAAAACTCATAAAACTAATATTAAAATGTTTTTGGGTGATATTTAAAATCGAAACAATACAAATATAGTAGTTTCTTAATTAGGTATAAATTTTATTTTTCTTGTCAAAATTTATTAAAGTCGCAAATGCAAATTATATATTAGATTTTAGCAAATCTAGACAGGCCATGAAACCATGTAAGTTATATGAAATGAAATGCTTTTTATTTTTTTATCATGTAAGAACATATTTTATAATAAAGTTATAATTTTTATCTTATAAAAAAAATGAAAATCAAACAGTTCAATTGATCGCCTCCACCAATGCCACCACCTACAGATACATCTTCAAGGATTGATATAAGATTTGTAATAAGATTCTCCCCGCTGTAGTCCTTTTTGTTTGACAATAGCCATGAGTGAGGTAACATTTTCATACACACACCGTTACTACAAGACAGCCCTAAGTTACTAAAAAATAGCAACTAAAATATTATTTCCTTACCAGTATTTTCCAAATCTTTGATCATGGTAGTCATCCAGAGTAATTGTTGCTGTCAATACTTTGATACTGATATTGAGAGTCAAGTTAGCCATCTCAAGCATTTTGCTTATTATAGCTTGATGCTCCATAGCATTGGAGAAAAGATGCAGACGGCTGTAACCTCCAACAGCCAGAACAAATCCGCCGGGTACATCACGGACTGGCAAAATACCTTGAATATCACAATATGGATAGCTGGCCAGCAATGTATGTGTTGAGGGGTCCAATTGTTCTAGTGAACATGGTCCTACTTCAAGAACTATAGGCAACCTAGTGCCACTCCAATGGTGTTTATATGCTTGGTACCTCTTTAAAGAAAGAAAAATGAAAGTAAATTATTAAGTTCCTAAATTTAACAGAACACATTTACACATATCTAAATTTATAGCTAAGAATGTATATTTAAATCAGTAAGAAAAAAATAATGACAAGAAATTATCAATGTAACAAACTTTCTTAAAAGTTTTATACTTTACAGAAGTAGTTACTTAGTAATAGTTAAAATAGCATAGTATCATGAGCCATATTAAATAACTATAGGTAAGGTGTTAGTAGAAAACATTTGGCTGAGAGTGCTGCTTGGCCAGTCATTTAGCTTATAACTTAACCAGCTTGTTTATCATGCACACTGTACACCCTAGCTGCACTTCTAAGAGACACTCAGATATTACACTAATGGCCAAATACTCAAGCCCTACTCAATTTTAAGATGTTAAGTCTCATGGAGTCACAGTGACTTTGACTGAAAGTGATAGAGGCAGCATAAGACTTAATGGCGTCTTGAAAATGAGGAGCATTTGAATATTTGGGCATCAATATATATTTTTTTATAGTATATGGGTGACAAACGAGCACACAGTCCACCTGATGGTAAGTGGTTGCTGCGGTTCATAGACCATATACATATCTATCAAAGTATCTAATATAGGTATTTTAAAATTTTTCATCCAATACTTACATAAATATCCTTTTGCTGTTCTGCAAACAAATGTCTATACTTAAAAGCCTCTGTTAATATTAGACATTTGTGTTCAGATGAGAATCTCATAGAATCCATTTTCTTGTCTTTCTTCATTATGAGTGTAAAGTCATGGTTGGATGTAGAGTTAGAATGCTTAGCTGATGCAAGTTTTATGATGTCAGCATATAGCCACTTGTTGGTCACCTCCAAACGATCAGGATTATATGTAGTAATTCCATGAGTGCCTACTGAGAACACACGTTTGTACTTGCCCTTCCATGAATGTTTTGTGACAAGGAACGATGCCACATCCTGATTGTCTTTTAATGGAATCATCTTAACATTGCCTGTAGATTATATTTTTATATAAAAAAATTTACATTGTACTACATTGAATTTACAACTTACAACTAAGTCAGTGAATGGCAATTTGTGTCGTTTTAGGGTAAGATACTAAAATCAATAATATCCATAATAAGACAATAAATTTTAAAATCATTAAACATTTCGGACACTGAAATCAAAGATTTTACGCTTTTTTAAACAAGTATCCACCCCTTTGTAGATCAGAAGAAAATGGATAATGAAGACGTGTAAACAAGGGATTATTTTAAACTTTTAAAATTTAAGCGACAAACGGGAATGTTTCTGCATACTTACAAAGTTTTCCTGAATTATTATGGTTTACTGTTATTGCCGCTTATAGAATATGACCCGCATATTACACAAAAGGAACCAGAAAATTTAAAGGAGATTTACTCAAAATACGGCTCACAATCGCCCAAATACACAATCGTATCACAAATCATAGATAAATATATATGTAGCAAGCTATCACAAATCACAATCACATTTGACATTTGTTTTTCATCATTGCCATACGCATGGTACCATTGCAATGTTGCCAGTAGATATAAATCAATTGTTATTAATTCGGCTTAAACCGGGTTGAGTTTTACAGTTAACTTTGGTCTTTATCGCACAGTTATCTATATGAATATTCATATAATACGAATATATAGTTGCAGCAAATAAATACACAGGCCGTTTCCGACAGCTTAGTAAGAGTGGATGTTGCAGTAAATAACGGAATAACAAAAACAAGAGGAAGCGCAAAGTGAGCGGGGCACGCATATACCGCATTAAATAATAATAGTTATGCCCTCCAGATCGAATTTCAGCCACCCTTAACGGAGACTCGACATCTCGCTCGCCGACTCGCATCTGCGCAAGACTATATTATATTGCCCAAGTAGGTATATGCACAAGTACAGGTGCATTCTCATAGTCCGAGACGAATGTAGAGATCGGGCGCAGGACCAAAATGTTAAGTGCTTTTCGAGGCACGGGTGTGAAACACCGCCAATTTCCTAACTCCTAGCAGCTACTCAGAATATCTTGACAGAAAAATTCTTCTTCTTCTTCTTTCTTTTTTATGGCGGTTTTGATCATTCGCCAATGTCAGCGTGAAAGCGTTTATTGAGTAGAAGCTCAGTAGTTACAAATACTATGCCCATATACAAGAGAAGATTGTGATAGTACAAGTATCTTTTTTCCTTTAAACCAATTTATTCCCCTTTTATCTTGTAGTACTAATGGTTATACTGTTGAATTACCTAGAACAAATGACAAACACGGTTGCTATAACTACATTAGTATGTATATGTATTGACAAACATTAAACTTTTATACCATTAGAAGAATATATACATAAGGAGTGTTTGTGTAGGTTAAAAGTGAATCAAAATTTATAGGACGAGGGATGTCAGGAGGGAGATAATCATAGAGTGAACAAGATAATTTAGGACAGTTAAAAAAAATATGGTCGGAGGTTCCCTCATCCAACCCACATTCGCAGAGGGAACTATCCCTAATCCTCAGTTTGGCCAAATGTACTGGTGTACAAGCGTGGCCAATTCTAAGTCTACAAATAGTTGATGTAGAATGTTTATTAGCTTTATTGAATTTGAAAAACCGTGGTTTTGGAAGGATGGCACATTGTATAGCAGCATAGTGTTTACCTTTTATATTTTGAGTGGCTTTCCATAATGTATTCCAATTATTATTTAACTTCTTCTTTGCAAGTAACACTATGTCTGAGGAGTAAGTTAAATTACATGGCAAACCATTTCGACTGGCATTTTTAGCCATCAGATCAGCTGTTTCATTGCCCTTGATGCCACTATGACCTGGAATCCAAGCTAAGGAAACCTGTATGCCCTTGAGATGACATCTATACAATGTGTGTTTAATTTTGAGGATCAAGGGTATCTTATATTTACTTTGGAATTGGTTTGACAAAATTGCTAACAAACAACTTTTGGAGTCGGTAAGAATAACTGACTTATTTAAGTTGTGTGCTTCTATATATATTAAAGCTTCATGAATTGCCGTGGCCTCGCCAGTAAAAGTGGAAGAAATAGAAGGGCATTTAAAATTAAGAATTATTTTGAATCTGGGAATCCAAACTGCTGCTCCAGTACAACTTTCATCTGACTTTTTGGAGGCATCAGTGTATATAATAAGCCAGCCTTTCCATAAATTATCTATGACTCTACTTACTTTACTATTTGCTATAGGGCAATCTTTCTCAATACCAAGGTCGAGGTGGATATTTGGTTGGAAAATGATTGCATCATATGGGATATCAAATATGGGGCAGGACTTGAATTGTGATACTGGGTATGGTAGGTGGAGTAATGTTACCAAACTGTTGGATAAGCAGGGAGATTCTTTATGAGACCAGTAATGTTTTGACGAAATATATTCCAAAAGGAGGTGTAGTTTAGAAATGAGAGGGTGGGAAGAGAGTTGGTAGATTTTAAAAAAGTATCGGTCCGAAAGATATTGCCTTCTTAGATAAAGGGGAGGGTCCACACATTCAACTTGGAGAGCATTTATTGGGGAAGATTTCATTGCCCCGATGATTATACGAAGGCTTTTGGATTGAATCCTGTCTAGGATCTTTAGGGAAGACTTATTGCACGGTTCCAAAACAAAACATCCATAATCTAAATGACTACGGATAAGGGCGTTGTACAGTATTTTTTGGGAGAATGGGTGGGAGCCCCACCAGACACCCGATAAAGCGCGAAGAATGTTTATATTTTTTTCACATTTTTTGGAGACATAGTTGATGTGATGAGAAAAGGCTAGTTTGGAGTCGAGAATAACTCCTAAAAATTTTAGATTCTCCCTAATTGGGATAGGTTCATTATTATAGAGAATGTTGATTTCAGGGACTTGCCTATGGCGAGAGAAGATTACAACACTGCTTTTGGGAACAGACAAAGACAAACCATGATCAGTTAACCAATCCTGTAAATAAGACATTGATATATTCAAGCGAGAACATGCTGCAAGGAGGTTATCTAGGGAAATATATATAGCTATATCGTCTGCATATTGGAGGATGTTACAGAAGGAGTTAACAGAAAGTTCTAAATCATAAGTATAGATAGAATAGAGTAAAGGACTAAGTACTGAGCCTTGTGGGAGACCCTTCCATACAATTCTTGGCGGGAGTAGAGAATTTTGACTGTCAATATAAATGGATCTAGAAGAGAGAAAGTTAGAGACAAAATTTACTATCCTCACTGGAATACTCAGATTAAGCATTTTTTGCCTGAGCACAGGAAGAAGTACATTGTCATATGCAGACGAGATATCTAGGAAGACTCCAACAAGGTATTCATGTTTAGAGTAAGCTATACGAATATCAGTAACTAGAGTACTAATGCTATCCATGGTGCTTAAGCCCTTTCGGAATCCAAATTGGCTTTTTGCTAAAAGATTTTTGCTTTCAAGAAACCATTCTAAACGATTTTTTATTAGGTGTTCAAGGATTTTGGCCATGGTGCAAGAAAGAGCAATAGGGCGGTAGCTTGCGGGATCAGTGTAGGGCTTACCTGGTTTGTGAATAGGTAAGATAACTTGGGATTTCCACTCTTCAGGAGGAATACCGGACATATAAATATAATTCAAAATAGAAAGAAGATGGGCTTTAGTAGATTCACTGCTATTAGTAATAAAAGAATAAGGGATTCCATCGATTCCTGGTGAAGAGTCTTTAAGGACATTAAGAACAGAATATAACTCCTCATAAGAGAAAGGAGAGTCAAAACTGTGTTGATAGTGCAGGGACTGTGATTGGAATACTATACATTCATTGTAAGATGGTACTGAAGGAGGAGCAAGTTTACTAGCAAAATTTTCTAGCCAATAAGACTGATCATTAGAATTTGTGTTTTCAGGGGCCGAAACTGAACATCGGAATTTTTTTATATTTTTCCAGACCAGTGATGGATGAGTCCTAGGCGACAGTGACTCACAGAATTTAAGCCATCCAGCCTTTTTCTTTTCAGACAGTAATTTTAATGTTTCAGCAGCAGTTTTTTTATAAAAAATATAGTTATCAAAATTCATTGAGCGGGAATATCTTAGTTCAGCTTCCTTTCTCTTCTTGCATGCTACAGAACAATCTTGATCCCACCAAGGCGGTGAAGGAGCATTATTTTTATAAGGTTTTTTAATGGGAATTGTCTTATTTGCAGCAGATAAAATAGCATTTTTGAAAGTAGAATACACCTGAAGAACATTCTCTTTCTGAACCGTAGGGAGGGATGAAAGTTCTTCATCTAGAACTGTGGAATACAGATGCCAGTTTGCTTTGGATGTGTTATATTTTAACCTAGGTTTGAATGGAACATTGACTGTATAGGAGTTAGGAGGATTGATAACAATAGGAAAGTGATCACTGCCATGGGAAATGGGTAATATTCTCCAAGAAAGAAGGGATGACAGGGCAGGAGAACAGAGTGACAGATCTACTGCACTTTTAGGATTTTGGAGGGGGGAAACTCTACGTGTAGGTGAACCATCGTTAAGGAGGCAGAGATCTAAATCATCAATGATGTCTAAGAATGTAGAAGACCAGGGATCACAAAAATGGGAACCCCATAAAGTATGGTGCATATTAAAATCACCAAGAATTACCATAGGAGGAGGGATGGAGGATATAATCCTCGTAAGTTCCGATAAGATATTTAGATTAGGTTCGGGAATGTAAATAGAAAGGAAAGAAATGTTATGAGCTCTAACTGCAACAGCATTAATTGAAGGACTATGAGAAGGAAGGGAAATTAATGTATAAGTAATTGATTTTGAGATAAGAATGAAAGAGCCAGCATGACCATCACTTCTATCATCCCTGAGACATGAATAGCCTGAGACCCTAAAATGGGAGCCAGGCTTTAGCCATGTCTCCTGGATGGCTAGGATAAGGGGATGGTATTTATTAATAAGATATGTTAGTTCGTTTTTCTTATTTTTAATGC